GGCTTCCTAGATCCACCAGGCGGTTAAATACATCCTTGGCAACTAGATTGAGTAAGCTGAAATTCTAAGCGCCATAACTTTTAGAAAATCTGGTAATGAATCTTAGATGAAAGATAAGCTCTAAAAACAAACACATTCCTGTTTTCTGAGAATTTGACAAAAGTACTACAGTGAGTCCTCTGGGGAAAGGAATAGAGCTTCCCCGGGTGGCTCACTGGTAAAGAATCCACCTGCCAACGCAGGGAGATGCGGGTTCTATCTCTGGGTCGGGAAGATCCCTTGGAATAGGAAATGGCAACCCACTCCAGTATTCTTGCCTAAAAAATACCATGGACAGAGGAACCTGGCAGGCTATACAGTCCATAGGGTCACAGAGTCGGACATGACTAGGCAATAGAGTACGAATACGGTGGGGAAAGGAATAGTGACCCCTGCTGCCCTCTAGTGTTGAATATAAGAACTGCATGTCCCGCTCAAAAGACCCACAGGCCAGTACTGCCACCAAAAAAGCAGGGAAGTTTTAATCTTTTACAGTCATTGTGATCATTGCTACGTTTTGGTGTATATGTTTATTTTTCTGTTTACCATGCTTTTTCTTTACTTATATTCTGCCTTCTGTTCAATTCATAGTTTTATTTTTCTTTGACTGTCTTGGAGAACTATATTTCTATTTCTTTAGTAGTTATATTTACATTTCCTTTATACTCTAAATAAAAATTTCTAACAAAATCCTAAATTATTCACTGTCTTATCTTCCTCCTGAGTAAGACCTTACTTCTTCTGAATCAGGGGTGGTAATTATTACCCTAGGTGTTGGTGTATTTGCTCATGATACGCTCACTCAGTAACTGTATTTTTAATTTCTAGGATTTCTAACTGGTTCTTTAAACATTTACCATTTCATTTCTGATCACTTTTATTTCATAATTTCTTCTTTCAGTAAAAGTATCTTTCCTTTATCTCTGAGTATTCCAAACATACTTAAAAGTTTTCAGTTCACTCCATTATTTTCATTTCAATTACAATGAATTCATTTCTTGATGCTGATTTTGTAGGTTATTTTTCTTTTGGCTAGGTTTTCTTGTATGCTTTGGAAGCTTAACCTCTAAGCTCTTCATGAACGGAAAAAGTTTCCCATTTCACATTATCTTTCCTTCCCTGAGGGTTTTGTGATAACCTCTACCCAGTCCTCCAGGAACCCCAACTAGAAACAAGTCAGACTCTGTTTGCACCATGAAATTTGGGAGCCAGGAGATCCAGCCACCAAGTGAGAGGGTAGCTGGACTTAGGTCTGGATTCAGTGTTGTGTCTGCTTCCTAAGTATTCAACTTCATAAACTATGTCTTCGTGCACAGATGGGATGAAATTTTTTCCAATACTAGGTTTAAGGAGCACTACCTAAATTCCTAATTGCAAGCTGCAATCCAGGCCCCACATAGCCACATTCCTTTAACTGATTACTTTCTAGTTACAAACTCCAGACTGCCTCTATTTCTGAATCCATAGCCAGGCAAGATTACATCAGTGTGTTCGTGGCCAACAAAATTGTTTATCTTGTTTTTCAATATGGATATGTCACTTTACCCTTTTCTGGTTAATTTTACTGTGTGTTTGCAGCAGAGGGAGTAGCATCAAAGTGTGTACTATCTTGATGAGAAGTCAGTTTCATTCACTTTTAAAAAAAATGTTGGTCCTTAGGCAGTACCATGGTTAACAGTGATGGCTAAAAAGCAGCCTGGTAGCTGTACATTCTCTTTCCAGTTTTATCAATAAATATTTTATAAGGTTGGGGATAACTGACTTGTACAATTTTGCCAATGACACTAACTATAGCTTCTATTTGAAATAACTGATTTTGTGTTTACTGCATACCAAAACATGTGATACTTCATTACCTAAATTCCCCTATTTCTGCACTTTGAGGCTCAAAAAATTAGCCCATGGAAAATCAATAAATCTATAAACAAACTATAATCATGTTTTGATGCTGCAGTGGTACCAAACTTAAAATATTGGTACAAAGGAGAGGGATAAGATTAAAATTTACCCAAAAGAATTTACAGTTAAGAATGATAAAAATGATATTAAGGATTTATTAGCTTTCTAAAGTATGATACTGGTTTTGTTATTACGCTGAATAAAATTAGTCTTCTAGAGATGCACCCTGGAATTGTTACAGATGAAATTATATAATCTGATTAAAAGAATCTGGGGTGGTGGATACTGGCTGATTTAGATTTTTTTTTCAGTTCTACCAGTTTATTGCTACCAACGCATCTCCCTCCACCCTCGTGCACACATGCTCAGTCATGTAACCCCATGGACTGCAGCCCGCCAGGCTCCTCTGTCCATGGACTTTTCCAGGCAAGAATACTGGAGTTGGTTTCCACTTCCTTCTTCATGATTTGGATTTAAAGATGAAACAGTTTTGGCCTTGAGTTGATAACTGTTAAAACTAGGTGGGAAAGATGGGGACCATGGGTGTTCATTGTACTGTCAGGATCTGGGCAGGTGCAGGTCTGGAATTTTAACCTATTTAGAAGCTAAACTGGTAGCAACCCTGTTACCAGTTTCATCAAAGCTGGCAGAGGACACAAGCCTCCTTAGTTAGACACAAAGGATATTAATCGCAGCAAAAGCAGTTGCCAGAGAATCATGCCGGATTCCAACGGGTCCCAAACTCACCTCTGCCCCAAGTTCCCCGGGTGCAGAACAAAGAGCTGACCACCGTAGTCTGCTCACAGAATGGATCCATTGCCAGAGAGGGATACTGAGGATGGTGGACTGAGTGTTCACAGCAAGTGGAAGCTAAGTCCGCCCTTTGTCGTGGGGGAGACAATACTTCTTGCCTCAAGGTAAGAGGAAGCTTGCAGAAAACACAAGCCTGGGAAATAGTCCAGGCAAAGAGCAGTCAGGGCTTTGCACTCTTGATATACCCAGCAAGAACCTGCAGGGATGCCGAGGGTCCATGGAAGATTGCCTAACCTAACACTATCTCTTTACTTTTGTATGTTTGAAATTACCGCTAAGTCCTGTCAGATATATAAATATATATAATATATAGAAATACATAAATAATATTATATAAAAGAACCTTACTGTGTAGCACACGGAAGTCTACTCTATAATAACCTCTACGGGAAAAGAATCTAAAAAAGAGTAGATATGTGTATATTTATAGCTGCTTCACTGATACAATGTTGTAAATCAACTATTCTCCAATAAAAATTAATAAAAAATAAAAAATGCACTTTGGAATCATTAACATACTGGGTAGATAACTTGCTTTTTGTTTTACTCAATATTTCCTGGGTATTTTCCATGTCTGTACACTAGATATAATTCATTCTTTTAAATTGCTGCTTCTTCCTTCAGTTGATTAATGATATTATGGACTGAATTATGTCCATATGTTGAAATTTATAAGTTGACCACTTAACCTCCAGTGTGACTGTGTTTAGAGACTGGGCTCTCAGGGAGGTAACTGAGGTTAAATGAGGTCCTAAGGCTGGGGCCCTAGTAAGATAGGACTGGTGTTCTTATATGAGGAAGAGACACTAGAGACCTCTCTCCAAGCAGCTGAAAAGCCATGTGAGGACACTGTGTGCTTAGGTGCTCAGCTGTGTTCAACTCTTTGCGGCCCCACGGACTGTAGCCCACCAGGCTCCTCTGTCCACGGAATTTCCCAGGCAAGAGTACTGGAGTGAGTTGCCATTTCCTCCTCCAGGGGGTCTTCTTGGCCCAGGGATCAACCCCACATTTAGTACATTGGCAGATTCTTTACCACTGCACCACCCGGGAAGCCTGAGGACACTGTCTACAGGCTGGGAATAGAGATCTCATCAACACTCAACCCTATCAGCACCTCATCTTGGCCCTATACACTCCAGAACTACAAGAAAACAAATTTCTGTTGTTTAAATCATCTGGTCTTTGATATTTTGTTCTGACAGTCTAAGCAGACTATTGCAGATGTATTCTACTTCATTTAATTTTCTAATAAGAGATGTGGGGATTTTTAAAATTAAATGTAAGGTAGCAATGATTTTATCACACATACATGATTATGCTTAGATACACTCTTAGAACTGAAATGTGTCAAAGGGCACACATATCTTAAATCTGATTCTGCCAAACCACCCTTTTAAAAAAAGTACTATTTAACGGCCCCCCAATACGAATGCTTGTTTCCCTAAACTAGAACCAGTTTGCCACGTGACAATGCTCCCTTGTTCAACAACACTTATTCAGTATCTACTTCTGAATAGTACCAGGCACTGTGCAATGTGTTTAGGATATAGTGGTGAACAAAGAATTAAATCCGTGACTTCAAGGATCTGTATTCCAGGTGGAAATGGGAGCTAAGGATACACATATAAATACACAAGATGGCCAGGGAAAGCTGTCTCTGAGAACATCTAAGCAGAGACCCAGATGGAAAGAGGAAACAAATCTTACCAATACTTGAAGGAAGAATGGTAAGAGCGTTTCATGGTTTTAATTGTCTTTTAAAAATAAGCAAAGTTGGGAGTTCCCCGGTGGGCTAGTCATCAGGATTTGGTGCTTTCACAGCGGCGGCCCTGGCCCAGGTTCAATCCCTAGCAGGGAAACTGAGATTCCTGCATCCCCTTAAGCTTGTGAGGCATGGCCGAAAACAAAGACAAAAACAAGTTGCAATTCTATTCCTCGCATACACCCAAAACAATTGAAAACAAACAGGTGTTCCAATACTTGGACATCAACGTTCACAGCAGCACTATTCTCAACAGGGCCACTATACAGGGAAGAATAAACAGCTCAAAGCAAGGCTGCAAAGGATAAGTAGGAAAGTGTCAGAAGAAGTGCAGAAGTTTCTAGACAGAGAAGTTAGCAAAGAATGAAATCTAGAGACTGGACAGTGAGAAGGAAAATAAGGCAGTGATAAAGGCATAAGACTAGGCAGTGACTAGGACATAAGAGGTGAAATATGGGGGGGCAGACAGACACTAACTGGCACTCACCTTGATATAAAATGGGTCATTTTATCAGCCTCACCAGATACAGCCATTCATTAAGAATAGTCCCAAGGCTCAAGAACAGGAAAAAACCTTCAGCGAAAAAACTAGAAACATAAAATGTGCAATAAGGAAAAGTGCTTAGAACATTCCACTTGTACCTCTTGCAGGGCTTCCTCTAGCTTTTGATTTAAGATTTATTTGCATGCTTTTCTCATCCTCTCCTCCAGACTAGAATTTCCTCTGGAGCAGGCAACATGTCTTTGTCATTTAACATTCTCAACAGCACTTCAAGCACAATCTGAATGAGGCTGAATCTGTCACCTCCAACTTAATCATATTAACATAATCCCTCCAGTCACCTGGGTACAACCTCAAAGTCATCCCTCCACACGTCTGTGGCCAGAGACCAGTCTGGGGCTCTACAATCACCCTCTCATCTTGTCTTTTTCACTGCTGAGCACAGTTTAGTCCCTCATTACACTCATCTAATTAGTATCCTAGCTAATATTTTTCCAGCTGGCTCTATCCTCACACTTCCATAATAATGTCCCTAAAATAGAACAGTTATTCTACTCTCCTACTTAGAACTGTAAAAATGTCTTACCAAAAAATGGATTAAAAATAAAGTAAAAATCCTAGTGTAAGCGAATGGATACATGTATATGTATGACTGAGGCCTTTTGGTGTTCACCTGGAACTATCACATTGTTAACTGGCTATACTCCAATACAAAATTTAAAAAAGTTTAAAAAACCCTAGTGTAGCTTTCCCAACTCTACTTTTTCTGCTCTATCTCCTCTAAAGATCACTCACATATCCAGCCCTCTGGGCACACTAAACTACTGAATATTCTAAGGATTTGCCCTGTGTTCTGCATGCATGCCTTTGCTCACGTGGTTCTCTCTAATCCTGGTACTTCCTCCCCAGCATTTATAACTTTCTTTTTGCCTGACGCCTACTTTCATCTTCTCTACTAGGCCCTAAGCCTCTTGGGGGCAGGATCTTTGTATCCTCTAACACCTGCTTATCAACTGCTTTCTATCAATATTCATGCACGGATCATCCTCACACCTCACAGCACCACGCCCTGCTCAAAACAGGTAACAATTATTTAAATGAATGATGTTCCATGCTCACCTCCCTCACCCTTCTGTCCAACGCTGAGAGAAAGTAAATAATAAATACTTGTTGAATTTAACTGTTTGGACAAAAATAGCGCGATATGGCCACATCTTAAAAGCACATTTTAGGTCCTTCCAGCTGAAAATGGTGACCCAGCTTCAGAGCTATCCCCCACCGAGATCTCGCCTTTTGAAGCTGGAATTCACTGAACTCACACAGGCGGAGCCTCGCTTCCAGAACGGCTGCACAGAACAGAACTTGAGGCCCTCTCTCACTTCTGAGCCGTGAGGGCGGAGAGGGAGGGGGCGTGACCTTCACAGCCGCCCAGCAGCACTCCGCCCTGCAAGGGCCCCCTGGTCCTTTCCCTAGCGGAGTACCGTTGCCAACGCGCCATCACGTAGATTTCACCCTCGTAACAATCTCGTGAGGCAGAAATTCTCATCATCTCCCTGAAGAAACAAGATCTGAGGGGGAGTGGGGTGGGGGAGATGGAGAAGCTATAGAAGAGGCGTGGCAACGAGCGGCTGCGAGGAAGGCGGGTGGGAGCCCAGGACTCGAGCGGGATGGATTTCGTTCCCGGCTCAGCCCTGATTCGAGCCCTGTGAGCTCACTGGCAGCGGGTGGCGCGGGGCGGGCGAGCAGACGACCCGAAGGTCCTCCCGCTCTCACAGCCCGGAGGCGAAGCCTCTGTGAGCGCCGAACGGCTCACACTCCCCCCTCGGAGCCCCCAGAGTACCCCGCGCGACCGCCCCCTTCGCTCTACCCTGACGGAAGTCCCGCCTCGCCCGGCCGCCATTGGACCCGGCTTCGAGGGTGGGGGGTGTCTCTCCGCGGGTTGGCCGCCCGGCGGCGTGAGCCCTGGGCGGCCACTGCGAGCCCCAGGCTAGGGGGACCTTGCTCAAGAGCCGCGAAAACGCGAGAGTCGAGCGCGGAAGGTGGGGGTGGAGGTGGGGGGGGTGGTGGCGCGGGGCGCCGAGCGCCGAGCGCCAGCAGCCGGCGGGACTTCCGCCACGGGACCCGGAAGGGGCCGCGCTACCGCTGGTGGGAGTTGTAGTCCGCCGTGGTTGGGGGGGCCCGCGGCTCATGCGCGGTGCATCGAGGCTTGTTTCACATCTGTAACAACAGGTGAATTGGGCTTTTAATTCTCCCCTTTCGTGCCCCCACCCCCGAGGAGCTTCCCGCAGCCCGGGGTGGTCAGCGCGAGGAGGGGGTCCGGATCCGACCGCCGGCTTGGCTGAGAGTGGGGCGGAGAAGCGGGCGGGCCCGAGGAGCAGGCCGGGCATCCTAGGCCTGCCCGGGAAGCCGGCCGGGCCGAGCCTTGAGCAGCCAGGCCTCGGCCTGCCGTTGCCATGGAGCCGGGGCGGGGGCGGGGGCCAGACCGGTCCGCCGGGGCGGGCCTCGTAGCCAGGGGCACCGCGGGGGCCGCGGGAGAAGCCGCTCCATTGGCGCAACGACGCCTCCGCCTCAGGGGATGCTCTGTTTCCCCGAGGCAGGGCCTGGAGGAAGCCCCCGGAGTGCCCTGGGACCTTTGTCTGCCCCCGTGCCGCCTGGACCGTTCGTCCAAAAGGAGGCCTGGTGCATTCGGGCCCCCCTGGTTTGCCCTCTTTTGCACCGACCTTGTCACTGGGGGAGGCCAAGGGGTGAGATGTTCTTTGTTTGCTGGTGGCGACTTGCCCCATTTCGCAGGGGAAGACCTAATGCATGTTGGGTCCTTTGTTTGCGGTGATCTGGAGTCCCAGGAGTCCTCAGAACCCCTGAGCCAGGAGTATGGCGTTAGCATGCTGTCTGGCTAGTCCTCGTGTAGCAACTCTGGTCACCTTAATTATGATTTTGCAAGGCGGAGGTTGTCCACTTTGCAATCCCCATCCACAGGGGCTTGTCATACACTGTAGCAAGTGGACTGCAAATGGCCAGTTGCAGATTCTCAACCTGTTTTTGGTTGCAACTGAACTGGTTAGAGCAAAATGAGACATTGTTTGCTGGTTTCCCTTGCAGTTTCTTTGAAGGTGATAATTCCAGTCATTGTGGGTCTTGACTACATCTTATAATTTACACTTAAATCTTAGAGTTTCCAGGAGGGAGATCCCCCCCCCCCCCCATACAGTATTTCGAATTTCCATAGTGCTTTTTATCTATGTAGCTGTTTTAGGTGCATAAAATACATCCTTTGTTACATTTTCTGCTTTGTAGATTGCCCCTTTACCTTGAAAAGATACTTACTCTCAAAGTGTTTTAATTTGTGGAATTGTGGTCCAGAGTTTATCAGGTGGACCTTCTTGCCTCTTTCAACCTTTGAAGATGTCAGTATAAAACAGTCTTCAAAGAATGAACCATGGACCTTGTAGGCAACAGCATGACATCATGAAAGTAAGTAGTATAGTATAAGCATAGAAAACTTAGGAGCTCAGTACCTTAACTGCGATTTGCATTCTGCCCTGAGGCAGTTATGGCATCCTGAGCAGGTTGTGTAAACTTTTCTAGGAAAATCTGCCCCCATTTCCTTCTCAGGGGAAACAGATTAAGGGAGATAAAGTCTGTGAAAGTACTTTGTAAATGGTACTTTTACCGATAGAAATGGTACTTAACAGTCTTGTTTTCACAACCTGAAAGAGCTTCTTTATCTACCTTAGATAGGTTTCTATTATAGTCATAGGGGAGTCTTAACCATTGAAGCAAGTTTTGCTCTGGGCTTGCAGAAAATGCTTTGAGAACTGTACGTCCTTCTTTACCGTGACATTGTATTTCTTGGTATCTTACAGGTTCCTGTATAGGACAGCTCACAACTTGATGGGTATAGAGTGGGTCATGGCTGGTCCTGAAGTGAGGCCAAAGTGTATGATGTGTGTTTCATGCCACTAACAAAACTTGTCCTTGTGTATTAGAGTTAGTAGATGAATTTCAATGGTCCGGAGCAACTTTCTTCCCCTGTGGGGGCCATCACTTTAGTGACCCAGCATTGTACTTCCCAGGAGGAGGCCCAGCCTCGTGATGAGGAATAGCAAAGAGAGAATTCAGCTCCAGTTCAAAAGGATACAAAATCAGAGACTGTCACTGCTCTTGTAAGGTAAGTTGATTTAGCCACGCATACAGAGCAGTGGTGGGTCTCCTGCTCAGCCGCACTGTGCAGCAAAAGGCATGTGTTAAATCCATTTGTGACTGTCTTGGAAGAAGGGTATCATTTAATTATACTCTCTCTCTATCCTTGAATCATCTCAGAGTAACTCTATCTGGAGCTAGGTGGTGTTTCATTATGCAAGAAACCTTGACGTAATATTATTTTACTTTTCTCTAGATTATTTAAGAGAGACTTTAAACTGCAAAGGTTTCTAACATAATAGTGTATAACAGGAAAGGCGATTTTCTTTTAGATTTCTATGAAATTTTCTGTAAAGTATCTATAAAAGATCCTATCTTGAATCTCATCATATATATTCTTTAAGACTTATGTAGGAAAAGATAGTGTCATATGAGCCTTGGTTGGCATGGAGAGGATCAGGGGCTTTTTGAAAGCAAAACCAAGTCTATTTACAAGCAAATTAACTGAAAACGTCTTAGCAAGAAAGTATTGATTCTTCAATAACAATCACTTAGATGTCTTAGATTGTATAATATTCAGATTTTCTTTAAAATCAGAATCTCAAATTCCACCTTTTTTCTTTTAATTTGGATAGAAAGAATCTATAGAATGTAACTGATTAAAGTAAATTGTATCATTGTTGATATTGTATTGAAGTTTTCTCTCTGAGCTACCATATCCTATCGGCTGAAATTTCCGGCATCCCTGGGGGAGAGGAGGCCATCAGGGCAGACCTGCTATGGACCTGAAAGATTCGTCCCCAGGTCAGCCCTCCACCCGCACCCCCCCACGATTTGAGAATGAGAGGGAATAGCAGGCAGGAGCAGGAGTGTAGGCGCCATTAGACTCCCAGTCACGTTTGATTTGCAACTCATCGTGATCTGCTAAAATGTTGTGTTAGATGTTTTTAAACTAATGCCACATACAGTTACTGCGCTGACACAGGAGTAGTACAGTATTAAAAACTGTGGGGACTTCCCCAGTGGTCCAATGGTTAAGACTCCGTACTTCCACTGCAGGGGGCACAGTTTTGATCCCTGGTCAGGGAATTAAGATCCTGCATGCCATGTGGCATGGCCAAAAAAAAGTCTGTACGTGTGGAGTTGGAGTGTTTTTTGCAACAAAACTGTTAAGCCAGAGGTGTTACTTTTGTGCGCATGTGTGTTTTTAAGTCTCTAGGTATATTCCTAGTTAAATGAACTAATGAGCAAAATGCAGCAAAGTTTTTGGCCAGCAGCTGAACTTTAACTTAACATTTGTTATTTCATAGAGATTCCGCCTTGAAAAGCTTTTTGTTTTGAAGCACTCTTTGATACTGTCAGTCAAGTCCCATTCCTCAGGGCTTGACTAGGTTTTCTGAAAGCCCAGTATACCAGTTTGTCCATAAGGCCATCATCAGTCCCAGTTCCTGAGAAACGGGGTCATGTAGGATTTCCTTTCTTCCCACACATCCCAGGATAACTGCAAGTATTGTGATGAGGTGGAAAGACGTGTCTCTCATGATGAAATCATCCCCTTCTGTTTAGGAGGGATCATGGAGTTTAGGACAGAGAAAAGAAGGAAGCTCTCAATTAGAAGCAAAGACATGTAATTACTTAATAGTGGAGGTGGCCCTTCTATCCTTAAGACTGGAAGCAGTTGGGGCTCATTAGTGAAGAGCTTCATTTTTCTTGTTTTCTGGACTGTGCTCTCTGTGTTACTGAAATCTGCTCTATGGTTCCTGAACTGAAAATGTTAACCACTTTTTTTTGGCCCTCCTTCTTCTTAGGATTCCAGCTTTCCCTCCTGGCCAGAAATGTTCAGCCTGGACTCATTCAGAAAAGGTAAGGATGTGACTGCACTTGTGGCCTCACGCCTGTCTTCCCAGTGATGGGCAGCTGTGAAGCCTGTGAAAATCCCTCTGGTGCATATTCACCGCTTACTGAAATCCAACTGTTTTTCTTGGCCAGTGTTTTACACCATTTCCTCTGTGAACCTTTCTTAATTCTATCAACCAAAAACAATCTCTCTCCTTTCTGATTTCCTCAGCACCACCTCTGTACTTTCTCATGCATCCTCTGTCTGAACCACTCATTGAATCACTAGATTAGAAGCTCCCTGCACCCAGGGCCTCCTTGATCATCCATAGCACTTGGCATAGCGTTTTGCACGTAATAGACCTCAGTAAAAGCTGGTGGAAGTGGATTGAGTCATTGTTTTATATCAGTGGTTGGAGAAATTGCTGCAAGACTTGAAATCAGCGCCCTCCAGCAGCTGGGGTGAGAGGGCTGCATACGCAGTAGAAGAGCTGAGCCGTGGCAGGGCGAGAGGACAGTGTTCAAGAGCTTCTCGGAGAAAGTGGTGTAGCTGGTGAAGATTCAAGGCACCGGACCGCAAAGGCGTTATATATCTTAGACAGGAGCGTGACTTTTCTCCTTTAAGGGAGTGAGGAGTACGTCTGTCACCTGTATTCAAGCTGACCATGAGCCTCCTACCTGTACATATTTGACAAATGAGAACCGTAACAGGCCATCCGTAACTGTTGATGAAAAAGATGCTCCCAGTTGTGTCTCCTCTCCGACTTGTGTCCCTGGAAGCCTGGAAAACCTTGGCCAGGTGGTGCCCTCTGTTGCCCACTGAATGGGGCCAAGAGGAGGCTGGATGCTCCAGGTCTCAGAGCCACCTCTTACTGTCTCCTTGTTTGTTTTCAGCCGCTCCATCTGTTTTCATACTTCATGAAAAAACTAATCTTTGTCTTCCTCGTTGTGTCGGTTAACTCTGTCTAATAGGAAAACACTGAACTTGAGTGTGGACAGCAAGCACATTTTGAGCTGAAAATTAAGTACATTTAATTGCTCTGTGTTTATCTCCTCATCAGTGGGTGTTGATGTCCACCCACTTGTAACAGTTGGACAAAAATGGGTTCTCTCCTGGTGGGAGTGTCTGAATTAACAGTACTGATTTCTTAAAGAGATGGACAGCCCAATAAAATTAGAGTCCTCATTGTCCTCACTGTGATAGGGAAATGGTACCAGATGCGAGAGTTTCAGGGCAAAATTCCTTTCCAGCCTCTTCGACTTCACTTTCTAGGCTGGAAATTGATTTGTTCAAGAGGTTTTCCATCGGGGTGACACTGTTAGCACTCATCTTAGTGGAAAGCAGCAGAACCTGACTGAGCCAAAGCTACCAACCCCGATGCCCAATTTACATCGCACTTCTGTGTCTCACTGGCCGAGGAGGCTTGGGTGGAGACCAAGCCTCGCTGTGCCTCCTTCTTCACCATCTAAGTGGTCATAGAGTTGTTCTAAGGATCAGATGAGTTAATATGTAGAAAGAGCTTAGAACAGTGCCTGACACCTGGTAAATTCACAAATCCATGATATTAAGTAGTTTGAGGACATAATAATCAGACACAGTCTGAATTTGGGGCCTTGCTTTCCACACAGTTTAGTATTTTTACCAAGAGCTGTCTTATGCTTGAAGGTCTCCAGGAAAACCATTAATCAGAAAGAGTCACTTATTTGAATATTTTCCTTCAGGCAAACCTCTTTTCATGGCTGTAAGGCTGAATGCCTTCTCCTGTCTTCTGGTTTTTGGTTTGCATCATGACCTTGACAGTTGGTCATGACGGGCTTCCCAGTTGGCACTAGTGGTAAGGAACCCACCTGCCAATGCAGGAGATGAAAGAGACACAGTTTTGATTCCTGGATCAGGAACATCCCCCAGAGAAGGGCATGGCAACCCACTCCAGTATTCTTGCCTGGGAGATCCCATGGACAGAGAAGCCTGGCGGGCTACAGTCCACGGGCTTGCAAAGAGTCAGACATGATTGAGCGACTTAGCACACACACACCCAGCCTTGTGACACTTATTGTTGTATAGCACTTCTTTATCTCCTAGGGAGTTTTTCTGTGTTTCTTTGTTCCTCGTGGTGAAATTATGAGCTCCCTAGGGCATTATGAATCTTGAGAGAAAATGTTAACATGGTATAAAGCTTGAGTCAGACTGGCTGGGGTTCCAATTTGGTCCCCATTAACACTATCGAGGTGTTAACTTACCTGTTTCCCTACCTTTAGGGGTGCAGTGAAGATAGAGGTGATATATGAAAAGCTCTTGGCTGTAGTCTGTCCCCGGCCCTTAGCCATAGGTTGGCAGGCATTTGATAAATGTGAGTAATTTGGTCTATTTGGGGTAACAACCATATAGCTCATGTCTTTCTAGAGAGTGACATCCTTGCTTCAATATGCAGTGTGCTGTATGGCTGCAAAATTGAGCGCCTGCTGTGTACAGGCCACTGGGGTGGAGATAGTTGTGTTTCAGAGATGATTTCTGGTACTCAGGGGTTTATGTTCTCGATGGGGTGGGCCTTTTTATGGTTTGAAGGTAATGGCCCTGGCAATTCTCCGTAGCGTTGTAGACAGTGGCCCCCTGGGTCTTGTGGCTACCATCTTTCCTATTATGTAATTAAACAGAGCTGCCACCGTCTGCCAACTAGAAAACTTGTGTGCCTGGTAACTAACCTGTTATTACCTTTGCCAGCATCTTAACAGTGTTCTTGTCTCTCAGCTGTAATGCCATCAGAATCAGGCCACAAAGAGCAAGCTGAATCTTTCTTTTATAGTCCACACAGAACTTTGAAAAATACCATATCAACCTCAAGAATGTGCAATTTTCCTCCAGCTCCAGTGGTCAGAAGAGGGCTCTGTGATGTTGTTGTGGAATTGTAACAACCTTCCCTCAGTTACTGGAAACGCTTAATGGAATAAAATAATCATCAAATCACGTATTCTTTTTTTTTTCCCAAGCCAGCACCCTTGGATATGAATGAAGACCTTCCTCAATCAGGAAAGGAGAGATTCAGCTGGTCGTTTACAACCTTAGCTTCAAGGCAGAGCCAGAATTAATTCCAAGATAAACCTTGATCTTAGGCACTTGATTCCAGAAGTAACAGCATTTCTGCTGTAACACCATCTATGTTTTCCGCAAAATCACACACCTATATATGTTTTAAGAGGGCTTATGGCAGAAATAGAGTTGAGGCAATACACTGGCAATTTTATGACCAGGATATGACAAAAACTGTCATGGGCGACTGGGAAGGAGCTTTGGCCCACCGAGGCAGGCGGCTGGCTTAGTGTGATGCAGAAAATGTGCAAGGAGCCTTCTGAGTGAGCAGAGCTGGCAGCTGCTGAGACAGCACCGGCGGAGGTGGAGCCCTGAGCGCGTGGGGCTGCCCTGAAGCAGACAATGCTGCTGGGAATGTGGGGGGGGGACCCTGAGTGCAAGTCTGTGCTTCCCCCAACACTGTATTATGAAAAAAATTTCAGAAATACTGAATGTTGAGGCAGTTGTATAGTGAGCACCCGTGTGTCTACCACCTCAATCCCCTACCGGCACCTGACTTTAATTTTTAAAAAATAAAGCTGAAGGGGCTTTTTCTTTTCCGGTTGAAAATGATCATTCCACTCCCACCTTTCAGTTCCTTTGCCTTAGAAGAATTAGATCTGAACCAAAGGTTCTTAGGTTTCACTGATGTCATTCCCCCACATTTGCCAATCGTGTATGAGCTAATTTGCATGACAGAAAGGGGCATCATTTTTGCACGGTGGGCTCTTTCTCAAGTGTGTAGAGTGTGTGTGACTGTCTCTCCTGGCTCCTCTCCTCCCCCATTTATTATAGCAAAACATGTGGGGCAGAGAGCAGAGAGCTCATGCACCTTTCTCCCCACACTGGTGTTCTCTGATGCTGTCACCACATAGGTGGTTTTAAAGGCCTTACACCTTCTTTAGCCATCGATTTCCACCTTCCCGTGGAATGCTCAGTGAGCATTTTATTTATTTTATTTTATTTTTTCAGTGAGCATTTTAATTTAAGTTCGTGTATATCAAAATTTTGGAACTTCCTAAAAGTGTACTTTATAGGTCACTGGTGGGTAGTGTTTAGTCTCCCAAGTGAATGGAAATATTTGGAATGGTAAATCATTAACTTCAAGAAAGAGAAGACTAGAAAGTGTGGGTCTGATCCTGGCTCTTGGGGAAGACACCAGCAGTCAAGTGGTCCCTTCTCTCCCCAATCTGTAGAGAGAGTAATTTGAGATCCGGTGGCTCGTGTGGAGAGCCTATAGCAGATGCAGGGATAGTTTCCATAAGTGGAAGAACCCGGCCGATTTGCTTGGTACCGTGAGAGTGTGGAGAAGCTTATGAGACGGGCATTATACTCAAGGAGGGTAGCTGGAAGAACTAGGACAGTTTGAGGGCTTCCTTGAGGGCCAGAGGGAAACGGAGGCTGTCATGTATCCCGTCTGTATCTATGAAACAACTGCCTTCTTTCTGAGCGGTATCGGTGGCACTGTGTCTCAGAACCTGTGACTGGCTCCAGGTGCCGTCCTGTTGCCCAGAGCGCCTCCTGGGTGCCCTGGGGTGAGTCACTGCAGGGGTCTGGAACGGCGAGGGGTGAGACCTCGTCACCCTGATGCCCTCTCTCTTTCCCCAGATCGGGCCCAGCACAGGCAGCGTCAGTGCAAACTCCCCCCACCCCGTCTTCCACCCATGTGTGTCAACCCTGCCCCTGGAGGGACCATCTCTCGAGGTAAGGGAGGAGCCGCGTCTCCAGCGCCAGCTGGTCCGGGGCCTGCGGGGAGGCGGGCGGCACAGGGGGCCTGGGGGCCAGGCCGTGGGCCTCGGAAGGGGCGCGAGGAGGAGCGGGGTTGGCAGAGCTCTTGCTGCCCTCGGGGAGACATCATTCGGAAAGGCCTGGGTTACTTCAGGACGCTCGGCCCCTTGGCTCAGACCCTCCTCGTGTGACCAAGGATAAAGCCTGGGCTCCGCCTGGGTGTCTGGCTCCAGGCCGGAGACGCAGGGGGCTTGGACCTTCTAGGCAGTCTCTGCTCAGCTGTCTCAGAAGATGCAGGGCGCTCGTAGCAGGGCCAGAGCCAAGAGCCCGGCTCGACCCAGTGCCCCCCATCTGGAGGCTTTGGGGACGCCTGACAGATCACCATCTACCTCCTCCGGCACCTCAAAGCACTTTACTGACATTTAGCTCTGTCTCTCGGGCTGTTTGGCAAGGTAGCTCTCCCTTTGACTGGGGAGAATGTCAGAGCCCCCGGACAGGTGACCGCTCACCTCAGAGCCCTGGCACCCAGGGCAGGGCCAGTCACAGGACCCGGGGAGGCGTCTCTGCCTGTGAGTGTCTCTTCTCTTCCCTCAGACTCAAAATCTTCTCCAGGTCTGCTGAGACCAGTACTTCTGGCCCAATAGCTCTTCCCAGCTCCACTGGCTGCCTGTTCACAGCGCTCCCTCAGGTTTTTAGTGGAGGAACACTATTATAGTCCTTAGAGTCTTTGCCTTTTGTGAAGACGGCATGTCCACTTGAGGCTCTGTCTGTAAAGTGCTTTGAAGGTCAAGAGCTCAGGAAGGGTGTGGGGAGCACCCAGCACCTCCGGTTGTGCAGCGCACGCTGCTGTGTGCCCGCACCGTTTCCACACACACTGCCCCCTGCTGCGCTGGCCCTGACTACAGACAGCAGTGTAGAAATCAGTCCTCCCGGCCCCTCTGACCATTTGACTTAGGTGTTAAAGAAATGCCACCCCCTACCGTTGCCAAAACAAGAGTTGATTGCCCTTTTTTCTTTCTTTCTTAAAATGCCCTGTAACTCGAAAAGGCTGAACGTTAACATTTCCAACATGGCAGGTGAGTGGCTCTGAGAGTGTCAGATGTGCTTTGGCTAAGCTTACAGATGGTTAGTCGGGATTGACCAGGCAGCATGACTAGGCAGTGCCTCCTGGAGCACACGCAGAGGAGAAGGCCACTGCTCTTGGGAGCAGCAGCTGCTCCCCGTGGGGCAGCCCAACAGGCCCTGCACCGTCGCCCCGGAGGAGCAGACATCCCCCACCCCGGAGCCTGACTGTCTTCTCACAGCTGCGTCTCCAGAAGGCATCTGGGTGTGTGCACCTTTGCCTTCCCTTTCTCTCTCTTTTAAGCAGAAAGGGTGCTTGCCTCTGTTCCTTTGTGACGGGAGCGACAACCCCTTAGTCCACGTGACTCTTGGACCTTTCTGCCATGCTCTCCAACTCCCTAGAGGCTTTGCTGGTACCTCTGTCCTGAAGAAGGAAGTGCGGGGCAGAAGGAGTCTCTCTGGTATTCAAATGGGAGAATAGTGCTCGAAAAATGGTGGCCACTGAAAGAGGTTACAGTGCCCATCCGAGTCAGATTTGAAATTGGAAAAAAAAATATCACCTCCTTTCCCAATCTACCCCTGACTCGACCACCAACCTCTTACCAAGGCCTTGTTTCAAAGTCAGGGGTGAATAAATTAAGAACCTTGTCCCATCCCCTCCCCTGGGAATCTTTCCCACCCACACAGATCTGAGATGTAGAGCGCTGGAAAGTGACATAGAATAATTCACCTGCTGGCAGGATGCTGGAGACCACAGTACTGGTCCCGTCCTTTCCCTGGTGTGGACGCGTCACCTCTTGGTGCGGTGGTGTGCCTTGGGGGACCTTGTGGCTTTACATACATTGGTGGGAAAGCTGTGAGAATGGGTAAGGTGGTCAGGGTGGTCCCCTAGTCCCTGTAGGTCCCATTACCTTTCTTGTTGCCAAACCGATGGGCCATTTCTTGCCATTTGACTGTCCGTAAAATATCAGACTCTGACTAGGTGGACAGAACATGAACCCAGGTTTTTACAGATGTCAGTGGCCCTCTGCTTTCGCTCCAGAAGTTCTCTGGTCTGCCCGAAGTACAGACTATCTTGGGCTTCCTCCTGTTGCTTTTACTTGGGGCCGCCAAAGTTTAGAGTCCTCAAATTCCCCCTCCTGCGTATTCAGCAGATTTTTAACCGTACGTGCATGCTGCTAGATGTCACTATTTAGCACTTTGAGTACCTGATGTTGTGCTTGATCCAGAAGTAATGGAGAGATCTCTGAGCCAATTAACCCTTCCTTTTTTCAGAACTTCCCTCCTTTTTCACAGGCAGAGGAGTCAACTTTCTCTTCCCAATGAATGGACAGTAGAAGAGAAGGCTTAATGTTGGTGGAAAGGAACAGGGGCATGCCTGAACCCCCTTTAATTTTCTTCAAGGTCCTCTAAAGCAGGAGTTGGCAAACTTTTAAGTCAGAGAGTACACGTTCCAGTCTTTGCAGGCCATGTGGTTTCTCATGCAGCTACTTAACTCTGTCATTATAGCACGAAAGCAGTAATAGGTAATACAGAAACGAGTGAGCATGGCTATGTTCCAATAAAGCTTCATTTATAACAACCCAACAGGGAATGAGTGGGTTTGGTCTGCAGATTACAGTTTGGCCACCCCTGCTCTAGACTAATGGAGAGATCGCAGAACCAGAGGGGTTCCAAGACCTGGTCTAAGAGTTGCCCTCATTTTGGAAAAGGCAGTGAGGTTTGTGGAGGTGAAATATTTGCTCAAGGTGACACTAGCTATTAGAACCCAGATGGAGAAAATGAAATAGGAAAAGAGGGCAGAGAGCTTACCAGAGAAGGAGCTAGTTGGTTGGCATCCATCACCTGACTTTTTTTTAACATGAAATCTCAAACATTTGTTTGAGATATGTTTTGTAAAATAGAGAAAACAGTATGATGAATCCCTGTGTACCTGGCTTGAACAATGAAGAAGCTCATGGCCGATCTTCCTTTCCACTTTGTGCCCTCTGGAAGCAAATCCATGAAATCATAGCATTTCAACCACAGCTTAAGTGACTGTCAGAGCAGAGTGCTATTCTAAGGGTTTCCAAAAACACAGGATGGGCCTCGGCCCTGCTTTCCAGGTGAGGTCTAGGCTGTCGCCTCCTTCGGCTTTCAGATCCCACAGTTTCCAGAATTTGGCCTTGCCTGCTGCTGCCACTCCCTGACTTGCTAAGCTTCTGGATTCTTTTGAGGGAATTTGGGCTGCTAACAACCCTTGAAAACTACTACTGAAGCTGGGTGGCTGCCTTAGCTTTTGGCAAATTAAAGTGCCACTTGGCCACGAAGCTCTGGTAGCATCATTTTCTGCTCCAAGGGTCTTGCCGTTCCTAGATGTATCATGTGGGGTAGAGGGGTTTGACACGGATGATGATGTCCCTTTGTGAGGTCAACCGTCGGTGCCAGGGCCACCTTCCCTTTTTCCTGCTTTTATGGTTAAACACTGAGGAGGGGAGGGAGGAAAAAAGGGTTACAGCTGCCCCCTTCTGCCCTGGATCTTCTTCCGAGGGCCCTGTCCCCCATTGTCTCAGACTTCAGAGAGCAGAGGTGTCTCTGTCAGAGCAGTTTGCAAATCCCTCTTCCAAACATCCCCATTTTATCTTAACCACAGCCATACCAAGTGAGCAGAGCAGGCTCGTCCTTGTGATAAAACGGCCCAAGGTTCACAGCTGGCAAATGGTAGACTTGGAACTGAGCCCAGGTGTTAGGACTTAAATCCCATGTTCTTGTCATAGGCCAGTGGTTCTGAGTGTGACCCCAGACCGGCAACCTCAGTATTATCTGGAAACTCGTTAAAAATGCAGGTCTTGTACCCCGCTCCAGAGCTAATGACTAAGAAACTGTGGAGGGTGGCTCCCAGTAACGTTTCAACAAGCTCTTCAAGGGGTCCTGGGAATCTTACCTAGAATTATAAAACAAACAACAAACACCCTCACCCCCACCCCAGCTTACCTCCAGCTGCACTGCTAACGTCTTACAAAGGCCTCCTTCCAAGGGACCTTGAGGCCATTGCTGTCACTGCCCCAACACAGCAGATTCAGTCTGATTCCCACCTGACCCGAAACCCTGCTCCTCAGTGCGGGAAGAGGCAAGAAGAGGCATGAGCCTGGCTAGACCCCTGCAGTGGTTTGGAGGCAAAACCCCATCTGGCTTTCACACACGTGCAGAACAGCAGCAGCTTCAGACTTTCACTGCTGCACCAGCTCAGTTCTTGGGCGCAGGGTCTGAATCTTCAGTATTATAAGCCATTAAATGAGGTGGCTGTGCCCCAGCTTTGCAGTAATCACTGTCTTCCAGTCAGCCTGCTGGAGTGCAAGCCAATTTGCCCGGGCAGTAGAAGCAATCTACCAGCCCTGGGTGGGACCCAGAGGGAACTTCTACTTTATTTCTTCGGGTGGACATTGAGCCTGTCCTGTTTCCCGAAAAAAAACCCACTCTCTCTTCCGGCCTTCAGATGACGAGTTTGTGGGTTTGGATTTACTAGGGGAGTGATTTCGGCAGGACCCCAGACTGATCCAGTCGGCCCATCGGTCGACTGGAGTGTGAAATCGGCTCGGTCCCGGGTCCGCCCGTCCGGCAGGGGGCGCGCGGTGCCCGAGCCTCCCGTTCCTACCCTTCTGTCCGGTCTCTGCCCGGCTCGGGAGTCGCGGGGGCGGGCGGGAGCGAGATGGCGACCGCCAGGAGACTCATGGCGCTGGCCGCCGGCGTCTCTCCGCGCCTGCGGCCGTCGGGTCCCCGCGCCATGGGGCGACAGGGACGCCCGCGCGGCCTCTCGACAGGCTGCTCCCGCCCCGACCGCACGCAGGAGGCCGCCGAGGCCGAGGCGGCCCCCGGCGAGCCTGGGGAAGGCGATGGAAGAAGCATGGTGAACGGTGAGGGCAGTGGCGGGGGCAGCCAGGCTGCGACGCCCTTGACTCCTGGGGATGGCAGAGCTAGGGGCGCGGGCCGGGGTCGGGCCCTCTTCGGTATGGCTGAGACAGCCAGTCAGTGGCGGGCCGCAGCCCAACTGCTGTAAAACTCTGTGTGGCTCAGGTCCAAGTGGACCCCAAGCGCAGAGGTCTGGGACTGGAGCGCCTGCACCTGGCAACAATAGGTGATCGGTGCGTACCACGAGGGAGCCGGGAAAACAGGTAAACGTCCAGTTCCTGCCAGGTCGGCGGTCTAGGGTTAGAGCATCACGGGTAAGCACATCCTTCCCGTTGTAAGAAAAAGGGAAGGCTCAGTATACATCTGAGACTTTAGGATCTGAAATAGAGACAGAATGATTGCTCTAAGTAGATCCCAGCGCTTGCCCCCTGATTAGTGCAGGAAATGAAACTAGTAAGAGCACCCCTGCCGATCAAGGATGGACAGAGAGTGCGCTAGCCTCTGCCTCTCTCTAGAGCTGGAGTGGGTCCCACTGCACATCTGTATTATATATGTCTAGTGGGCTACTTAAAGTTAGGTCCTTCTGTGGGATGGAAGCCCTTTGAGTCTGCTTCCATACTGTCTCTTGGCTACTTGATTCTCAGTAGTTTGTAAGAGTTATCCTTCAGCAGGAGATAGGGCCAGTTGACAGGGGAGTCTGCTCCAGGGAAACAGTTTAAACCCAGGCAGCAGAGTTACAGCACAGCTTGTGGAGGAGCGTTTTCAGAACACAGAGACTTTCCCAACGCCACGGCCATTCTCATGTGTCCTGTGGGGATCAGTGTGAAGGGTTGTGAAAACATTCCCCACATGACTTAACGATCGATGTGCACAGGTGCATATATGTATACACGCACGCACACACACACACAGGCCCTACAAAAGTATTTTTTGGAGCTGAATTATAAGCCAGAGATGATGGGTGGAGAATGAAAAAGCTTTCCATCTCCTCTGACCCTGCATCTCTTGAAGGTCCACTCTGGTGCTTCGGGACTCTTCCTTCTGTTTTCAGCCACTCTCAGCAGGATTCTTCATGCTTTCTCTAGGTCCTCTGTTTGGCACAAGCTGCCTCTAGGTGGACATCTCACCCATTTGTGCTCTGGGATTGATCCTGAGTGCAAGTAAACAAATGTAAGGTATCTCTCATGATGTTTGATGCATCCTGCCTCCACTTGGTTCACTGTAGTGAACTCCTGGGAGGACCAGCTCATGCCTCTGGCTCAGCTCTGGAGGTCTCTAATCAGTGTCCCTACGCATAATCTGGCTGAAAGGGGAGGCCTTTGGCAGGGTGCTGAGGTGATTGAGAACTGCGGCCTGGTGTTCAGACTGCAGCCTTCCCTCCCTTCTTTGTATCTGTTGTTTGAGGAGGGGCCTTGCACAGTCTTGATCTCCAATGTGTGTGTGTATGTGATTGGTTTTGTTTTGTTTTTTTCTGTTTAGTACTTTCTTTGAGACATCAGATTATGAGGGGTTGCTGCCATGTAGGCTTCTATAGCTAATGTGTGAAGTCAGGAGCTTTGATGAGGAAGAGGATGCTGGCTGGTTCCCCTCTGGTGTTTGGGACATTGGCCCTTCTCTTTCACAAGGAGATGCTTGTCCAGTGGGTCTAGCTCCACTGTCCCCTGTAAACCCTGAAGCCATTTGCCCCTCCTTTTTAAGATGCTCCTGGGTGGTTTGGGGTCACGATCCAACATCCTCAGTATCCAGCCCAGGGTTTCCCTGAAACATACCCCACAGAGTTTTTAAAACAACACAACTATAATGCTTTGTCCTTATTTTCTTAGCTTCTAGGGACCTATTAAAAGAGTTTCCACAGCCCAAAAATCTTCTCAACAGTGTGATTGGAAGAGCCCTTGGCATCTCACATGCAAAAGACAAATTGGTCTACGTGCACACAAATGGACCGAAGAAAAAGGTAACTGGTGGCAGGAAAACACGTTGGTCTGAGTCTCAGGAAGGAAATTAGCTGCCCTTTTCTCCCCCAGATTTCTCGTCAGGGAGGCCATAGTGTAGGTTTTTTGAATTGAGAATGGTCAGCAGAGAATCTCAGAACAAAGCTAGGTCTGGAGAAGAGTCTAGTTTAGGGAAAGGAAACATGGGCAAGTGAAGCGAGACGTTCTCATCTTGTGTGACAGGCCACTGTAGTGGGCCCTGGTACTGATCCCTCCTCAACTTCCTGGAACTGTGGAGGGTTAGAGTTGATGATAATTCCTGCTCCCAGAGTCTTGTAGGTCCTGGGACCAGGAAGCATGCAGGCAAACCATTCTGAATGAAGATTTTTAAGAATAAGGGTGGGTCCCACCTTGCCCTCTGGCTGGAGCATGGCACTTTGAAGAAGCAAAGCAACTTGAGGTGGGACAGTGGCTTGGTGGGGGTGAGGGGGGGATTGGAGCCTTCCAAGGAGCTAATGATGGGGTCGGGATTCTGTCTTGCGCTCAGCCCTGCTGCTGTGAGGTCTGTAGCTTTCCTGTGGATTCTCCGTGTGATTTGTAATACCTTTGTAGTCCAGAGAGTCAAGGGTTCTAATTCTCTCTTCTCTTCCTCAGAAAGTCACCCTCCACATAAAGTGGCCCAAGACCGTGGAGGTAGAAGGCTATGGCAGCAAGAAGATTGACGCTGAGAGGCAGGCTGCAGCCGCGGCCTGTCAGCTGTTCAAGGTGACCCTCCCCTCAGGAGAACCACGCAGGCCTCCCTCCTGGGAACTTCTTGCAGTAATGGTCTTCCTGGGGCCAGGTGCCCCTAGGTTTAGGATGGCAGAGTGTTCAACCTGTCCTGAGCCCTTTTCATCATGTCATCCTCTTTTGCTTCAGCCATTGAGGGAACAGATGAATATTATTTTCTTGCCACTGTAGTTACTTACTTTCTGTGGTTTCAGAAACCACAGCGAAGAACCTCTTTGTGGAGGGTACTCCCTTTGTACAAATAGACTTCTATCTTGGCTTCTGTTGTTTCTCTCTGTTATTTCATATAGGTTTTTCCTTGTGGCCCCATAGTCCTCTTGCTTACAATGAAAGAATAATAGTCATTTCTCTATCACTTCCCACTGATTGGACATGGGTTGCTTCGAGTTTTTGGTCAGGCAGCAGTTACTAGCTCTTCTCTGTTGCTCTCAGTCTTTCTTTCCCTCCCTAACTGACTCCCTTCATGGCTATGTCATCCTTGGATCTTCCTCACATTCCCTGGTCTTTGCTCTGCCAGGGACAAAGCTGCGTTCCTTCAGCTTCTTTCCTGCTCACAGTGTACAGACTTCATTGTCCTGCTTCCTTCCTGGATCTGAGGAGGAAAGTCCCTCTTCCTATCCTGGTTCTCCATACAACTCTTCTCTTTTCTCTCTCCTCTCTCTGCATCTTCTCCAGCCCATCTCTCACCCTTTTATTTAATTTTCCAATCCTTCCTCATCTGATTCTTTTCTGTAGGCATCAAAACTTCTTCAGTGTTGGGTAATTCCCTGGCAGTCCAGTGGTTAGGACACTGCGTTTTCACTGCTGAGGGCGCAGGTTCGATCCCTGGTTGGGGAACTGGGGTCCTGCAAGCAGTAGGGAGGCCTAGCAAAAAAAAAAAAGTCTTCAGTGTTCCGATCCCTTCCCCAGGCGCTGCTTCCCCACACACAGCTCTCTCTGCTTGTGGTCTGCATTCTCTCCGCTCGAACGCTGCAGCCCTTGCTGTGGTCCCCAGTTCCCTTCACATCCTTGCAGGGTTTCATGGTGACTGTCGGCTGACGGGCTCACAGCCTCTCCCCAGTCCTCACTCTGCTTGAATGTCTTGTGGCTTTGGCGCCATGGGGCATCTTTCTCAGCCGCTGGGTATACCTGCTCTCCTTTTCTCTGGCTCACTCCAAGCTCCTCTTCCTCTCCCACCCTCTGTAAATATCTCTTTTTTTTGTACTTCTTTCCGCTGTGGATATCTTCTCTCTCAGAAGTTCAACCATCCTTTGTTTGTTTAATGTCTTGGAAGTTGCCATCCCTCATTGAGTGCCTCTATCTCAGGGATTCTCAGTTTGTGGTGATTTTGCCCCCTACGGGACACTTCGCAAGGTCTAGAGACATGTTTGGCGGTCACAGAAAGAGGAATGCTGCTGGTATAAGGCCAGGGATACTTCTCGATGTCCTGTAATGCACAGGACAGCCCACTACAACAAGGAATTACCTAGCCCCAAATGTCACTGGGCTTCCCTGGTAGCTCAGATGGTAAAGAATCTGCCTGCAATATGGGAGACCTGAGCTCAGTCCCTGGGTTGGGAAGATCCCCTGGAGGAGGGCATGGCAACGCATTCCAGTATTCTGGCCTGGAGAATCCCCATGGACAGAGGAGCCTGGCGGGCTTCACTGTCAGACACAGCTGAGCGACTAAGCACAAATGTCCGTAGTGCCGAGAGTAAGAGGTACTTTTCTGCCTGAATGTAAAAGGCACTTCAAGCCAAGACCATGCACAGCAAGTTGTGCTCACATTCCTCCCCAGCCTGTCTTCTCTCCTCTGTCTCTGCTCGTAGTCTTGTTTGTATCTTTAATTGTGGGTAAAAAGTTTACTGTCTTAACCACTTTGAAGTGTACGGTTTAGTAATACTAAGCACAGCCACATTGTTGAACAACCAATCTCTAGAACTTCATCCACTTGCAAAACTGAATCTCTGCACCCAATAAATAACTCTCCGTCCTAGTCCCTTCCCCAGCCCCTGGCAACCACTGCAACAGCTTATGGAGAAACTTGAACAAACTTTCTGGCCAACCCAGTTCTTTCTGTTTCTGTGAACTTGACTACTCATCATTATAAGTGAAATTTGTAACTGCCTTAATTTCACTTACTATAATGTCCTCAAGTTTCATCCATGTTGTAACAAGGGTCAGAATTTCTGACTTTTTAAAGGCTACTATATTCTGTTGTATGTATATATGACATTTTGTGTATGCATTCATCCATTGATGGACTCTTGGGGTCCACCTTTTGGCCAGCGTGAATAATGCCACAATGAACTTGGGTGTGTAGATACCCCTTCAAGACCCTGCTCTTGAATGCCCAGAATTGGAATTGCTAGATGATACTGTAATTCTTCATTCTTTGAGGAACTGCCGTAGTGTTTCTGTGGTGACGGTACTACTGTGCCTTCCCAACAGGGCACTAGTGTTCCAGCGTCTCCACGTCCTCAGCACACTTACTAGGTGTCTCCGGTAGGAGTCTTGACTGATGTGTGGATGCTGAGCCTGCTGACTAGTGGTGACTGCTGGAATGACACGCTGAGTTTGCCTTTAGGAATAGTCCCCAGCCGCGGCGGCAGGGTCAGGCGAGACCAGAGACGGGGGCCCAGAACAGGTGTGAATGCCAGGAGCCGCGGTGCAGGAGCTTCTCTCTGGGGTGTTGAGGAGCTCAGAGGACAGCGGAGGGTCCGACGGCGGAGGCAGGAGGAAGAGCGGGCGGTGGGGAAGCTTGAGTCGGCACAAGGAGCCCCTGGGAGGGAAGCAGTCCGTGGAGGGAGTGGGGTGGGAGGTGAATGGGAGCAGGGAGGAGAAGCATGCTGTCCTGGGGAAGGCCAGGGGAGAGGGCGTTGTGTGTGTCTTCCGCATAATCAGACAGTCCATGTAAACAGTGAGGCAGAGGCGTGAAAGCCCAGCCTTGGGCCAGGCGCCCACACGCCCCGCCCCGAGCGGTGTGGCCTTCCTCCGTGTGGCTGTGTGTGGTGTGCCCTTTTCCTGTCCCCTGCCACAGCATCTTACTGTCCTAGAATCCTCGTGTGTTCCTCCAGAGAGATCTGACAGTGTGTCAAGGGCCCAGAGAGTCCGTCCACACTTTGACTGGAGTTACATTACATGGCTTATGTAGGCCGCTTTGCTCTCTTTGGGCAAAAGTTTCATCACAGGAACGCCCTTAGTTTGCGTCCTTTTACCAAGTTCTATACCTTTAAAAAATGTATATATATGGCTACTGTTGCTGTTGTAAGTACGCTTTACCTGATACCATTTTAAATTACAGCTGGTTCTTTCAGAAACCTGAGGGGAGAGTTTTAAGAAGGGAGTGGTCACTCCTCAGCTCGTCAGGAGTCAGGTGGGGCTGAAGCCACACGGGAGCGGGGCCTGGATTCTGGCGCCTGCCGTCGCGTGTCTGAACGCCTCTTGGCTCATCCGCGGCTTACCTCTGCTGTCTCGACCACTCCCAGCTTGAACTTTTTAACCTTGTGCTCTATTCCAATCCGCTCCTGTTTGCTCTAGCTTCTTGCTTACTGTTTTGTTCCTTAGATTCTGGTTTTCTGCATTTCTCTTCTGCCTCTTAGACTCGGAGCTTCTTGAGGGCCGGGACCTGGTGTCCTCTCTTGGTGGTGCCCAAAGTGCCAGGCGTGTTGGTTTGTCCACATTAGAGACTCGGCAGATGTCTTATTTGATTTTCTTTAGAAGAGAATGTTTTAAAATAATAATTTTGTATAAATGGCTTTAAAACGTTTGGTGTTAGTTCTAGAATAGGTTCCCGGCATAGGATTCTTGTTTCAGAGGTATATCTGTTTTACAGTCTAGACGGTATATTTCCTAATCACCCCACTCACTGAAGCTTTCTAGATCACTTTGTGAATGCATCTGCTTCCTGTTGCCCTATGGGGTTTTTGATGGGGATTTTTCTTCAGTCTCTTGGTCTTTTGTCTAACAGCTATAAGAATTTACCTTGTCATTTTCATCTGTTGATGCTAGACAGGTTAAGTGCTCTATGTCCATTTCTGGGCCAGGCCTGAGGTGAGCAGGCAGGTGAAAAAGTGTGGCTTCCACACACAAGGGACCTGCAGGGTAACTGGGCAGGTTCTGAACAAACTGCGCTGTGAGGGTGCTATGGGCCCTCACAGCGCCCCTCTTTTTCCCCTAGGGCTGGGGTCTGCTGGGTCCCCGGAATGAGCTGTTTGATGCAGCCAAATACCGCGTGCTAGCCGATCGCTTTGGCTCTCCGGCTGACAGCTGGTGGCGCCCAGAACCCACCATGCCACCCACTTCCTGGCGGCAGCTGAATCCTGAGAGCATCCGGCCAGGGGGACCTGGGGGCCTTTCCCGCTCCTTGGGTCGGGAGGAGGAGGAGGATGAGGAGGAAGAGCTAGAAGAAGGGACCATCGATGTCACTGAGTTTCTGTCTATGACCCAGCAAGACTCCCACGCCCCACTCAGGGATTCCAGGTACAGCCAGGGGCAGGGGCGACTGGGGAAACGGCTGCGGGGCGGGGGCGTATTCCCTGGGAGCCTTCTCTGAGATGGGAGACCCCTGCTTGCGTCTCAGTCAGAGTCTCTTTCACAGTACATCTGCCTGTTTGGGGGACGGCCAGCTGTGGCCGTGTGCTCTGGCTGGGCTCTTGCAAGACAGCAGCATGGGCGTGCCTTCCAGCTCACACTTTTGAGCCCTTCAGAGGCCCGGCACCTGCTCTGCCTGCCCGCTGCTCGCTCTCCTGTGTGTCTGGGGGGATTGAGGGCACGCCCCGTGTGCTGTGTCTGTGAGAGGACCACAGGCCAAGTGACGATGCCCCCGCCTGGCTGCCCACTGCAGTGACGCCGCGTCAGCCCCTGGGTTTCAGAGCAGGTGAAACTGGCTTGGGAAGAGAGCGATTTTTCACCTGAACTCTTGGTCCTCTCAGGGGGGGTTCCTTTGAAATGACAGATGACGACAGTGCTATCAGGGCTCTGACCCAGTTTCCACTTCCCAAGAACCTTCTGGCCAAGGTGATTCAGATAGCGACATCCTCCTCCACAGCCAAGGTGAGCTGGGTCTCCTGAAAGCGTGTATGAGTGGGGAGCCGGCTTGCTCAAGTCTGGGTTTCCCCAAGATCAGGTGGGAGGGAGATTGTAGGTCTGTGGGAAGCCTTAGATGCCCGTTCTCTTAGCCCAGCCTGGGCTAGCTGGAGGAGCTTGGGGTCCTTGGAGGGTGAAGCAGCAGGGGTAAAATGGAAGTCAGGACACTGGAGACTGGGAAGGGGCTGCGGAATGTAGGAGTGGAGACCCCAGATCTGTTCCAGGGGTGCGGGCACCAGTGGCGGGTCGGGGAGCGGGTGGCTGACTTGCTGAGCTTTTCATCTTCACTGCCGGGCCGAGGGGCTTTGGTTACTCGGAGCTTCTCCCCAGGCGCAAGGCCTTTTTGTTCCCCCAGGATGTGCTTGGCTCTTAGCTTGTGTTGACAGCTTCCACCCACAGCTGCCATCACAACTGTGTGCCTTGAAAGTGCTGAGAGGACAGTGGGCTAGGAGGGCAGGTAGGGGCGTTGCCCAGATGCCATCTTCTCCTGTGAAACCATGCCAAGATCCTGGAACTGCGGCCTCACGGGGCTCTCTTCTGCCTGTTCAGTGGCACTTCTTTCGGGGCTGATGTTTGGTACCTGCTCAGATGCGGGTTAAATCCGTATCTGGGTTCCTCGGCACTCTGAGAACACTTAGAAGTTCCCGTTCCCTGCCGTCTTGTAACCCCCTCTCACCCTTTTGTAGAACCTCATGCAGTTCCATACGGTGGGCACCAAGACCAAGCTGGCCACCCTCACCCTCCTCTGGCCCTGTCCCATGACCTTCGTGGCCAAGGGGCGTCGCAAAGCAGAGGCAGAGAATAAAGCGGCAGCCTTGGCTTGTAAGAAACTGAAGGTGAGTGCGGAAGGGTCCCTGGTGTGATGCATGAGGTGTCTTGGAGCTCCCTGCTACCCTTGGCAAATGGTCCACTTTTCCAGGCAATGAAATCCACCTTTGCCAGGCTTTTGGCCTGGACACAGAAGTAGCTGGTGTCCCAGCCTTGTCTGTCAGGCTCTGGGGGCGCTGTTTCCAGGGCTTCTCCACACTTCCTCCAGAGGGGCTTCGTTCTGAGCTCAGCCTTCTCAGCGCTGTGGACTGGAACCCGGGTGAAACCAGGAGGAGACATGCTCATCGTTCTGAATGGTGTGGAACTGGAGAAGCAGTGTCTCTGTTGGGGGCCTGGCTTAGTATCTAGAAAGATCTTGGTAGCTTGGGCTTTGTAGCCAACATGAACAGTGTGACTTCGTGTGGGATGCAGAATGAGGGGACCAACAATCAGGCGAAGGCAACATGGCTTATAGCCCGCGGTCGTTTGGAAGCGGCTTTGGAGATTAGATGATTCCCCAGTTGCGGGTGTCATTGAACCCAGTGGAGGTCTGGTTTGCGGACTAAGAGGAAAGACACCGTGTTTTACTCCAAATGGACAGAAACCTCTGGTGCACGTTTGGCTCTGGGAACTGAATATCATATACGACTAATGGGGAGAGATAGCGAGATCCTGGAGAATTGAAGAGGGATGGGGTCGGGTAAGTGGTGGGAGGCAGTGGCTGTGTTGTTACCTGTGGCTCAAGAGGACAGAAGTAGGGCTAACTGGGAGGACTTTGAGGAAGTCTGTATTTTAATTCGACAAAAACAGTGATGAGAAGATGACCCAAGCATGGTAGACACCTGTCTCGGGAAGGAGCAAGCTTCCCAAGGGGCAGCCGTGTTCTGCAAGCACCTGGATGCCTGCAGGCAGAAACTGCAGACAAATCCTCAGTCTTGGGAAAGGACAGGGGCCTTTCCTACAGCAGGGTGGCCCTGTGGGCACCTCTTTTGTTCCTGGGACTCGGAGGCTAGGGGAAGGTGATTGGTCCCTGCAGGGGTAGACTTCCTTAGAAGTGGTGCAGACTCTGCACATGACAGAGTATGAGAGAAATGGCTGGCTTTCCAGTGTGTTGAAATGCTTTGTCTTATCTCTGGGGAGGTGGTCTTGGGTATACGTGGAAATAAAACAAGAGTTTCCCTTCCGGTGGCTTATTTTACCAAGTTGTGTAAGTAGATACTTACAGGAATTTCCACGTACATTTGTATGATGAACTGGGTATCATGCAGGGGTAGGAGGTGGTGTGGCAGTTGAACTTGAAAGGTTGGTGGGGGGAATCGGGGTGGTGACTTTCTCTCTCCTGCACCATTGTCAGTCCAAACCCAAAAATCTCTTAGAAAAGAGGTTGCTCTGGGAGGGGACAAAAAAAAAAGAGGTTGCTTTGCAGGACTTCTCTGGAGCTGCCGAGCAGGTCTGAGCCAGTTCTGGGGAGTGGGCCCTAGACCAAGCCATCCGTGTCCCCTCTACAGAGCCTGGGACTGGTGGACCGGAACAACGAGCCGCTCACCCACGCCATGTATAACTTGGCCTCCTTGCGAGAGCTGGGTGAGACCCAGCGCCGGCCGTGTACCATCCAGGTGCCTGAGCCCATCCTCCGCAAGATTGAGACCTTCTTGAACCATGTAAGAGAATCCCCACGTTCCCCTTCACCTGCCCATAGCCTTCACCTGCAGTGACCCCCTGCTTCCCCACTGGGGTGGAGCCTGGGAGCACCCTGGCTCCGAGCCGTGCAGTCTTGCCCACAATGGTCCCGGGGTAGTCAGGGACTGAGTCCTGCTTGGCGGCTTGGACCACAGCCTCTGGAAGGTGTGAGTCGTGGAGGGACTGGCTGTGGGTAAAGGAGGAAGTGCTCCTCTTCGTCATTCCGTCTGCCTCTCCTGTACCCCTCTCCTGCCCCCAGTACCCTGTGGAGAGTCCGTGGATCTCCTCGGAGCTCCGGCTGCAGGGCGAGGACATCCTGCCCTTGGGCAAGGACCCGGGGCCGCTCAGTGACCCCATCACAGGCAAGCCCTACGTGCCGCTGTCCGAGGCAGAGGAGCTGCGTCTGAGCCAGAGCCTGTTGGAGCTGTGGCGGCGGCGAGGGCCGGTCTGGCAGGAGGCACCCCAGCTCCCCGTGGACCCTCATCGGGACACCATCCTCAATGCTATTGAGCAACACCCAGTGGTGGTCATTGCTGGGGACACGGGCTGTGGGAAGACCACGCGCATCCCCCAGCTGCTGCTGGAGCGCTACGTGACCGAGGGCCGCGGTGCCCGCTGCAACGTGATCATCACCCAGCCACGCCGCATCTCGGCTGTGTCTGTGGCCCAGCGGGTCAGCCACGAACTGGGCCCTTCCCTGCGTCGGAACGTGGGTTTCCAGGTGCGGTTGGAAAGCAAGCCTCCGGCCCGAGGAGGGGCCCTGCTGTTCTGCACGGTGGGCATCCTGCTGCGGAAGCTGCAGAGCAACCCCAGCCTGGAGGGCGTGAGCCACGTGGTTGTGGACGAGGTGCACGAGCGAGACGTGAACACGGACTTCCTGCTGATCCTGCTCAAGGGCCTGCAGCGGCTCAACCCGGCTCTGCGCCTGGTGCTCATGAGCGCCACCGGTGACAACGAGCGCTTCTCCCGCTACTTTGGTGGCTGCCCTGTCATCAAGGTCCCTGGCTTCATGTACCCTGTCAAGGAGCACTACCTGGAGGACATCCTGGCCAAGCTGGGCAAGCACCAGTACCCGCACCGGCACCGGCACCACGAGGTGAGGGGTGCGCCCGCCCCGCCCCGCCGAGGCTCCTGGCCTGTCCTCCCGGATCCCCTCCTTCCCTGCTAGAAATGGCAAGGACCGGGCCTGCCTGACAAGGGTGTGGTGAGGGTTGGAGGTGAGGTGTCACGTGCCTTGGCCTCACCGAGTCACGGTGGCCGTGTCCTGTGCACGACCCCTGGCCCCGGGACTGTGACTGGCCTCTCTTCCCCACCGCAGTCTGAGGATGAATGCGCCCTCGATTTGGACCTCGTGACTGACCTGGTTCTGCACATCGATGCTCGTGGGGAACCAGGTGGGTGCTTTCTTCTGTCCCCCAGGCCCACCCTGCCCTCCGTCTACAGGGAGCCACTGGCTCATGCCTGCAGGGCCTCTTTACAGGTGGGATCCTCTGCTTCCTGCCGGGGTGGCAGGAGATCAAAGGAGTCCAGCAACGCCTCCAGGAGGCCTTGGGCATGCACGAGAGCAAGTACCTCATCCTGCCAGGTGAGAGCATGTGGGCGAGGATGGCGGCCCCAACACGAGGCCTGCCCTCTGTCCCAGGGACTGGCTCGCCTTGGGCTCAGGGTCTTGGGTTTGTCACCAGGCCACACTACTTTTTACCGGGTTGGTGACCTCTACTGGGTATATTACTAATCTGGACTTCAGTTTCATCAAGATAGGGTCCAAATTCTTGCCTGCCCTTTTACGGGGAGGATTTGATGGAGGTGGTGCGTGCCCATGACCAGTGTGTTCTCGCTGCCACCAGTGCACTCCAACATCCCGATGATGGACCAGAAGGCCATATTCCAGCAGCCTCCCATTGGGGTACGCAAGATCGTCTTGGCCACCAACATCGCCGAGACCTCCATCACAATCAATGACATCGTGCATGTGGTGGACAGTGGTCTGCACAAGGAGGAGCGCTACGACCTGAAGACCAAGGTGGCGCCCCTCTCATGGCCTGGCCACAGCCCAGGTCCACCCCGGGCCCATGTGTGTCTGAAAAGGCCGCACTCGTGGGGTCTGTGTCTCTCTTGCGGGAGGGCCATTGAGGGGTCGAGTTGGATGAAGGCCAGGCCTGGGGGAGCGTGGAGGAAGGCCTCTGGTGTGTGTGTGGCTGGCTGCTCACAGGTCCCCTTCCCTAGGTTTCCTGCCTGGAGACCGTGTGGGTGTCGCGAGCCAATGTGATCCAGCGCCGGGGTCGGGCGGGCCGCTGCCAGTCTGGCTTTGCCTACCACCTCTTCCCGCGGAGCCGGCTGGAGAAGATGGCCCCTTTCCAAGTGCCAGAGATCCTGCGTACACCCCTGGAGAACCTGGTGCTGCAGGCCAAGATCCACATGCCAGAGAAGACGGTGCGGCAGGGGTGGGCAGGGGGCCTGGGAGCGCGCAGGTGGGGTGCAGGCTGACGGAGGCTCTGCCTCGTTCACGCTGTAGGCGGTGGAGTTCCTCTCCAAGGCCGTAGACAGTCCAAACATCAAGGCGGTGGACGAGGCCGTGATCCTGCTCCAGGAGATCGGTGAGTGGGGCACGGCTGGGCCAGGCTGCCGAGTGGCTCTCAAGGGCGGGACTGACCGCTGAGCTTGCAGGGGTTCTGGACCAGCGGGAGTACCTGACCACCCTGGGGCAGCGCCTGGCTCACATCTCCACCGACCCGCGGCTGGCCAAGGCCATCGTGCTGGCTGCCATCTTCCGTTGCCTGCACCCGCTGTTAGTGGTTGTCTCCTGCCTCACCCGAGACCCCTTCAGCAGCAGCTTGCAGAACCGGGCGGAGGTGGACAAGGTCAGACCCGGTGCCTGCGCGCGGCCCTCCTCTCCCTTCTGTTCCGAGGTGGCCTCCCCTCTGGTCCCTGCCCTGTGACCCCGGCACCCCTCCCCCTACCAGGTGAAGGCACTGTTGAGCCACGACAGTGGTAGTGACCATCTGGCCTTCGTGCGGGCTGTGTCTGGCTGGGAGGAGGTGCTGCGCTGGCAGGATCGCAGCTCCCGTGAGAACTACTTGGAGGAAAACTTGCTCTACGCACCCAGCCTGCGCTTCATCCACGGTCAGCGGACCCCACACTGCCCGGAGTCCTCTGCCCCTCCCACTTGCACTGGGCCAGTGCGGTGAGCAGAGCCCTAGGTTCACCCCGATTTTGCCTCCCCAGGACTCATCAAGCAGTTCTCAGAGAACATTTATGAGGCTTTCTTGGTTGGGAAGCCCTCAGACTGCACCCTGGCCTCTGCCCAGTGCAACGAGTACAGTGAGGAGGAGGAGCTGGTGAAGGGGGTGCTGATGGCGGGTCTCTACCCCAACCTCATCCAGGTGCTGCCTCGGGGCGGGGGCACCAGGCCTCAGTCTCTCTTCCCATCTTGGCTCCTTGCTCAACCCACCCACCTTTTCCCTTCATCCCTGCAGGTGAGGCAGGGCAAGGTGACCCGGCAGGGCAAGTTCAAGCCCAACAGTGTCACATACAGGACCAAATCTGGCAACATCTTGCTGCACAAGTCGACCATTAACAGGTGGGGATCCCCGTCAGGTGAAGCCGGGCAGCGAGGGTGCCTCAGGAGGGGGCCTCACCCAGCCGTTTGTTCCCCAGGGAGGCCACCCGGCTACGGAGCCGATGGCTGACATATTTCATGGCTGTCAAGTCCAACGGTAGCGTCTTCGTCCGGGACTCCTCCCAGGTGCACCCACTAGCTGTGCTGCTGCTGACCGACGGGGACGTCCACATCCGTGGTGGGTACCTGCATCCTTCTCCGCACCTCTGGCTGCCCTGCCTCCTTGGGCCTGGCCTCACCTGGGCTCCTCACGCCTTCCCCTTCCCCCAGATGATGGGCGCCGGGCCACCATTTCCCTGAGTGACAGTGACCTGCTGCGGCTGGAGGGTGACTCGCGCACCGTGCGGCTGCTGCGGGAGCTGCGCCGGGCCCTGGGCCGCATGGTGGAGCGGAGCCTGCGCAGCGAGCTGGCGGCACTGCCGCCCTGCGTGCAGGAGGAGCACGGGCAGCTGCTTGCCCTGCTGGCGGAGTTGCTGCGTGGGCCCTGCGGCAGCTTTGATGTGCGCAAGACGGCTGACGACTAAGCCCCGTCTCTGCTGGGGCCATGTACAGAATGAAAATGTTTATTTAAAATAAAGTTCTATTTATCCCTTGTGAGCATCGCTATCCGCGGGGCTCCTCTCTCAGGGAGGACCTCAGCACCCTGGGATGGGGACCACACTCCCCAAACCAAGAGAAGAATGAAGGCTCAGAAGGGAGGGGCCCAGAGTCTTAGAAGAAGGGGCTTAAAACCCACACCTCAGGAGCGTGGACCAGCCGTCTCTGCACTGTCCTTACAGGTGTGGCAGGGCCCACCACGTGCATCCTCATTCAGTCTGGCTGCCTCCTCCCAGCTCAGGCGGGTGGGGGAGGGGAAATTTCCGTAAGCAGCCAAGGCCCGCTCAGACCTTAACCCCCGGTCACAGCCCCAGGTTCACAGATGAGGTGCTGAGGTGAAGAACACACGCGCACACGAGTCCCTAGTGGGTGGATCACACACGCTGGAGGGGTAGAGACCAGGATGTACAAAAGACAGGGCCTGCGTGTCTGGGACAGAAGAGATTTATTTACTCTGGAAATCGTTACAACAGAATCACAGATTGACATGGGGAACGGCTGAGCCATAAGCAAATGGGGAAGCACAGAAACGTCCCTGCCCCGATGGCTGCAGGGCAGAGCACGCAGGGCCCCTGGGCCCACCTGTCGGGGCAGCCTTCTCAGCTGCTCCAGCTGCTGGGATCTGTCACGGCAAGTGTGACCAGACCACCCTTCAGAATACTGACCACTCCAGCGCCCCCTCGAGGGCCCTCCACTGGGGTCACCTCTACTGCTTTTGGCCAAAGGAGTAAGAAGACCCAGAGCTTGTCGTCCACTTTAGCATCGACATGGGTGCAGGTACCTTGAGGCCCAGCACTGTCACCCCACCTCCCTCACCCCTTTCTGCAGACAAAACACGGACACCCTGATGTCCCTGGCACTGTTGAAGCACCCTGGATGGCCTCTGGCTCCAGAAGTGCTTTTTCCACAAGATCCCTACAATTTCTACCCCTGGTAGTGCTTGGGGAGTTGAGGATGTGGTGTCGAACCTCCCTGGAGAAAATGCTAATAATAACCTCAGAAACAGGGAGAACCTTCCCAGCCCAGACACCCTCCCACTACACGGACATCAAATCTGAATGAAGCTTAGTTCGGGAGCCCCCCCACCTCAGCGCCAGGGGACGCCTGAGGAGGAAGTGGGAGGGTGAGGGGCCAAGTCTGCACTGCAGAAAACACTTCAGAGGAGAAGGCTTGGAGACTCCCAGGCCATTTCACTACAAACTGTTACGTTTTAATCCTTTATTAGAAACCATGCAAACTTTAATACAAAAAATACAAGTGCAATAAGAAATCTTCATGTCAATATAATCCCCAGGGCTAATCATTGCAGCCATCCCAAGACCAGGCCTAACTGGGACACGCCTCCTCAGGCTGGGCTGGCCTCACCTCTCCTCTCTCCCCTCTCCAGTCAGGCTACAAGGGAGCCTGGATGGCCCATCACATGTCCTTATTTCTAAATCTCCAGCCTTGATTCCCCACTACCCACGAGTGCCGGACACATCGGGCTCCCTGGCAGTGTCCCAGGCTGCAGGCTTGGAGGAATTTGACCTCCATGGCCCTCTCCAGTCCCAACCTTATGTCTTCCACCAGATCCCAGGGAATGAGACAAACCGATGCCCAAACCAGCCTCTTGGTTAGAAAAGAAAAGCAGCATACACACGAAATGCCAGAACCACCAGTCCACACTGATCAGCCCCTAGCGGTCCCTGCCTGCTCTCCAGCCCACAGCCCCCACACCACGCCTGCCCTGCCCACACCATCTCTGGGGCTGGGGCCCCGAGCTGCCCAAGCCAGGGCAGCTCCCGACGCCTGACCTCCCAGCTGGAGGCTTCAGGATCTCCCCTCCCTGTTTCCTTTAACACCTACTGAGGACTTTCATTTAGACATGGCTTCAACCTGCAAAACTACTCCACTGGTTTTTAGGTTATTAAAAAAGAAAAGATAAACAGCAGCTAGGCAGGTATGGGGAGGAGCGGGGACAGGCAACGCTGCCTCTGACTAACTCGGGGAGGGCAGCAAGTGGCGCCTGGTACCACCTGCATGGTGGGCACCATCGTAGGGTCAAAGGAAGAGGCAGTGGCTTAGCAGGCTCCAGGGGGTGCAGTTAACGGCAGCCATCATGTGGATGTCCGCTTCCACTCTTCCCTCCAGATGGACCAGCGAGGAGGGAGGGTATGTCAGTTTCTCTTGGGTTTGGTCCAAAAAACCCAAACAAATGAAGAGGATGCTGGGATCCAGCTCGCCCCTACACCCCAGGTCTCAGAAGATCCTAAAATTATTCTTCCCCACCCCATTTTCCACCCAACCCTCTTCGTGGAGCAGTGGCGCGAAGTGGTGAGCGAAGTGGTGAGGATGCGAGCCAAGCAGGGAGCTGGGCCTGGGGCGGGAAGTGAAAGGAACGTGGGCGTTGGGGGGAACTGCTGCTGCCCTGGGCAAGCGAGGGAGGGAGGGAAGGAGGGAGGAAAGGGGGTGCCTAGAGGGCTGCCCAGGGCCCGAGCCACAGACTGGGGGGTGGCCTGGGGCGGGGAGCTAGGGGCCCGGCTGCCTGAGCTGGGGCCGCCAGGGAAGTGAGGGCGGGCGGGAGACAATGTCGGCCCCGTGATCGGTGCGGGCCCTGGCGTTTGCTCGGAACGTCAGCCTGTAGGTCTCAATCTGCAGTGACACGGGAGGAAGGCAGGGAGAGGGTGACAGGGGAGACAAGAGGGGGGACACGGGGACGGAAGACGAGACCAGAATGTCATCATTAGATGCCTGGAAAATAAAAGGTTGCTTCGTTAAAATTCAGGCCACTCTCCAGTTCAGAAAACAAAGGAGTTTCAATTTGCAGCCAGTGGCAGGGCCCCTGGCTGGCCCTCAGGCCAAGCCCAGCCACTTACTTGTCTCCTGGATCTGGCTGTCCAAGGTCTGGGCCTCCCTTTGGTCACCACCCCCTGCCAGGGTGGTGTGGCCACTGAGGCCACTGGCTGAAGTGGGGGCGCCAGCTTCAGGCGCTGCCTCAGGGATGGCCAGCTCCTCCCCAGCAGGGGGGCCCGGACACGGAGGGGCCTCGCTGCCACCGCCCTCAGTCTACAAATGAAACAGTGGGGAGACAGTGCAGGGTCAGTCGGGGAGGGAGTGGGATGGTGATGGCGGTGGGTTTCACACTCTGCCCCCACCCACACTGCCTCCACGGCCTAACGTAGGTCACATCTGGGAGTCAAGCCCAGGTGTTCCCCACCCCAACCCGCCAGGCCAGATCCTGGTTTGAATGGCCCAGTGCTGGGCAAGAACCCAGGCCTGGGCTCTGGGGCAGGAAGGGGGTGCAGCCTGGCTAGGGACGCACCTCACGAAGCCTGACATGAAAGCCCGGCTACTTAACATAGCTGATGCCAGATCAAAACTATGACAGCAGGTTGTTAGCAAAAAAACCCAAGGGAAAAAAAAAAAACCCAAGGAATGATCTCAAGTTGTAGATCAGGACTTGGCTAGGGAACTCTGGGAGCTGGACGCATTTCTGTGGGGTGCAAGCTGCCACCTTGGACCTGAGGGACCCCACAGACTCCCTGCCTGGCTAATCACTGTTTACTCATCCTTGACACAGGCCTGTTCTGTGCTGGGCACCCTTTCAGGGCCTGGGACAAAGAGGAGCCGGGAAGGTGTTCAAGAGGTATGGTGAGCGAAGACCACAGGGGCCGGGAGAACTTTAGGGTACAGTAAGGACTGTGGGGACCGTGGACACCCAATGTGAGTCAAGAGCATAAGGGGAGGGCTTTGGGGGTGCAGTGGGGGCGCAGGGCACTGGGTGAGCTGGTACGCCTGTGCCACAAATGCCCAGACATGACAATGGAAGTCTCCAGGGTGGTCCTTACTTAGAACAGTGAAAGATATGGCCTCTGTGCTAGAAAAATAGTTCCGGAAGTGGTTAAAAGAAAAAAAAAGGGAGATGCTGTGAATAAAGAACAGACTGGCGGTCAGAAAGGCCTAGAGTGAGCCCTGGTCTGTGCGTGCTTGTCAAGTGGCTGGGACCACGCTGAAGTTAGCATCCCAGGGAGGGTGACCAGAGAATGGCCCCTCATGAGGTGTGGAGCGTGACCTGAGAGTCTGTGAGAGTCAGGGCCCCTAGTGGTCAAGGGAGCCAGTGGGGGCTTGAACTGAAGCATAGAGGGCGCCTGGGACAAAGCTGGGATGGAGCTTTGCGAGGGGTGGTCAGACACAGGAGGAAGGCCCACAGCGCCGCTCACACCCCCGCTTCCTCACCCATCTCCCGAGGCACCCGCAGCCACCCTCAGGCTTCGAAGATGCTGCCCCCATGTGCCCCGACCTGATGACATGGAACATGGACAGACTCTCTGGTAGACAAAGGGTCTCACAGTACTGTGGAAGGAGGGGGAGGGAAGAGAGGGAGGGAAGGCAGGAGAGGCCCAGCCAGCACAGGGAGCCCGGCACTCTCCAGGGCCTGGCAGTCAGGCCTGAGGAGGCGGACGTCGGGCCTGCGGCCATGGGCAGCCGAAAACGTGCCTTCCCGTTCGCAGGCCCGGAAGGAAGCCTGACACAGAGCACCGCACTGCCCTCTCACGGGGTGCTGCGAGAACGGCACTCCACTGACCCCTGGCCTCACTGGGGCCTGCGTATCAGCCGTTCCTCTGAAAACAGCTGAGATGGGCTCAGAAAGGCAGCCCACGGCTCTCAGGAGAAGGCTCTGTCTCCAGCTGGACAGGTGAGAGCTGACCGGGCTGGGGCCTCTTCACCTCTCCTGCTTCACTCAGGATGGATGACTGACGATGGGAACAGTAATGAAGTGGGTGAAACATGACTCCTGAAGTGACTGAGGGGCGGTGACAGGCACCCATCTGCTGGGACCAGACTCCAGCTCCACAAGCCCACCCCCCACCTGCAGCCCCGTCAGGACCCAAACACTACCTTCACGGCACCTCCTGCAGGCAGGTGGCCCACGTTATCGAGGGATCCCACCTTTGCCTGAGCCTTTTCTTTGAAGTTCAGCTTCTGACTTTCGATTTTGACATCTCCTCCACCTGGAACCAAAAAGAAATGGGTCATTATGGGTGGCAGAAAAATACCCCTACAAGCAGAGCCAGGAGGCTGGCCAAAGACTGGGCTGTGCCCAGGAGAGAAACAGGAAAAACGGGATCTGCTCCTGGTGGTCCTGAGGACACGGGTGGAGGCACAGTGAACACCTCTGTCATAACAGGGCTCCTTTTCTCCAGGTCAGGCTGAGCCAATTTCGCCACACAGCCAGAGAGAAAGAAAGCTACCCTACCACCACCGTGCACTGCCTGCAGCCCCAGGAGAGCCTCAAAAGGAGCCAAGATGCACGCCTGCCTCGGGGTCACTTGGAGGAGTGATACCGCCCTCTAACTGACAGCGGTACAGGAGTCCATCCCGCTTTCAGCCTCATGGACACCCTGCTGGTCAGGGTCAGGATCCTGGAATCCCGATTTTCCAGCTGCCAGCACCGATACTGGAGGAGACAAGTGACCAGCAAGACAGGATGGGCGTATGGTCTGGGTGAACAGTTTAACCAAATCTGTCCCGAAAAGAAGGGAAGGTGAGAGGTGGAAGCGGAGGGAAGGCAGTCTGTACACGGGCAACATTCGCAGAACATTCGCAGCTCAGCCAGAGAGCTCTCACAGCCAGCCAGACCCTCAGCTGGGCTTTTCCCTGAGGCTTCTTACTCTCCCATCTCCTCTCTGCTCATGTCACCTAGCTTCCCACCCAATTCTCCAGGTATCCTACCCACTGGACTTCTGGCCCATTGAAAAACCTGGACCTCAAGTCACTTAGTGTCACTAGGGAAGATTTATCTCAGAAGTTCAGTGGATTTTCCAGATAGAATGGAAAAATGAAGGTAAGCTGTCAGCCAGTGTGCCTGCTACTGCAGATACGGCCCTGCAGACTCTGGACCAGGACACACAAGACTCTTAGGGTACAGGCAGAACGCAGGCCCTGCCCAGACAACATGCCAGCTGCCAGAGATTTCTGCAGGGGCGCCAGGCCTGTGCTGCTGGAAGGAAAGTCTGGACTGCTGTGGCAGCAAGATCCAAGTCCGTGAGCCGAGGCAGCATTGCTGAATAGCTCCCTGTCCCTGCAGGAGCTGGTGGTTGATGCTTCACTGCTCAGAAATATTCTCTGCCCCTGCATCTGACCAGCAAGGCCCAGCCAGCATTTTCTACAGCTCCTTCAGCACCAGCTCCTGAACATGCGTCAGGGAGGCCGAGGAGGGTGTCAGCTGGAAGAGCACCTCTACCATAGGCCCAGGTCAACAGTGCGGTGCACACAGGAGAGCCTCGAGACTCTGCCCGTGCAAGTGGCAGCCCTTACAGACTTCCTCCTCCAATGAAGAGGTTAGCGCCCAGAAAGCCCCTCTCTGACAGGGCTGAGGCCTATGTTGTTTCTACTGCTGCGCCCTGGGCGTGGGTGGCTCCAGGAGTCTTAATAGAAAGGACAGAGGCATAGGGGTGAAACCTGGGATGAGGGAGGCACCACTCACCAGGCTTGTGCTTGATGTTAGCCTTGGACCCACACTTGGAGGAGACCTTAGAGATGTCTACCTTCTTGTTCTGAATCTGAACCTGAGGAGAAAAACATACACACAAAAACAATTCACTCAGAGAGAGGGTGTACTGTCAGGTTCAAACCCAAGCTCTCTTTATGGTCTCCAAAGTCCAGCTCAGAGGCTACCTTTTCCAAAGACTTCCCTGTGTCTCCCCTTGCTCCATCTCCCCTTCATACTGTCTCCTGCAGGGACATCGGCTCTACACTAATTGCTTTATGTGCTCAATCATTTACAGAGTACCTACTACCATCAAAATGGCAGCCTCAGCTTCGGCTCTGTCTTTCCAACAGTGCTACAATTATGCCTCAACAGGAGTGTGGGAAGTGCACTTTTCCCAGTCACAGGTCTGGCAGATGCTAGAGCAGGCCACCACGTGTCCGCAGCAACTGTGGCAGGCTCATCTTGCACCATACCCGAGATGACCTGTGAGGGGTCAACAGAGGTCACTCGTCATGGCCAGGCTCTTGCCAGGATGTGGAGCCCACACAACTCTTGACCGTGTTCCAAATGAGAAGCCTAGTCCTCAGTGAAAGAACAGTTGATGAGGGGAAGTTTCCCTTTATAGATGCAGTCTAGCCAATAAATGAAGAAGGGATGGGAGAATTCCAGTTTCACCACAGTGCACCTTTGCTGAAGTCAGGGTTTTGGGCAAGAACAGCCGCCAGCATCAGGAAGAGATGAGAAGAGTGAGACATTATGTATGTCCTGATAGAAACACCACCACTGCCTATGAATGTCCTGCAAAAATGTGGGGGTAAAATAAAGAACCAAGCCTGAATTAATCTGAAGAAAAATGTGGGACTAATGAATATGTTAAATGAAACCATGGGGATATCCTCAGTAGAACCCAAATTCTAGGACAAACCATTCAGTTTTATTCAAGAAAAGTGCTACCATGAAAAAAGAAAAATGAACAAGAACTTGTACAGCAGGTGACACCTAAGATTACAAGGGGGCAAATCAATCAACTACAACTTATGGACCTTACTTGGATCCTGATAAAGAAATTTGTTTAACATGTTATGCAGTTTTATATTATACATATGTATATCAGAGTTCTTATCTGTTACAGTTATATATTGGGATATTTGCAGGTAAAAGATATAACTAGAACTGGCTTCAGAATAATGGAGGTGAGCATATATAGATAAGACTGGCCACAAAAATAATAAAAGCTGGATAAAAAAGGACATCCAATTCACTTAATCATTTTTCTTTTTTTCTCATTTTGTGTATGTTTGAAAATGTCTATAATTAAAGGTTTTAAAAAGCTTAATTGCTTCTCACTAACTTAGAAGCCACCGAGATGAGGCCTGTACATAGCGGAGCCACGTGCTGCTGTTCTCATGCTGGCCCTGAGGCCCCACCCAGGGATGCCCAGTGGCCCACACAAGCCGTGCCACGACCACCTGGCATCGGCGCACTTCCTCCTGTCGCCCGCTCACGCAGTCTGCCCCTGGGGCAGCACAGGTGTCAATACTGCTAGTGAACTGACCCTGCCAGCCAGTCTCAGAAACCACTGACATATACACCCCTCCTCACAAGGGTGAAATGGAACTAAACTGCTGCAAAATTTAAACTCTGATCATCCACAGAAATAGCTGTGATATTCTCGCCCGATGGCCTTTTGGTTCTCAAAAGGGTCACGTACGTGGGGGCCTGTGTGGAGCCAACCAGAATCTTGCTCCAAGCCACTCATCTGTGAGGTAACCCCAGAATTTCTCTCTGGGCAGAAAGAGGGCTTTGGCAGGTCAGGGTTAGATGCATATGGCTGGTGGCCACCCTTCTACCATGCAGGTATGATCATGGTGGCTTTACGGAGGGACTGATGGAAGGCACAACAGTAACATAGTCTAGGCTGTTTACTCTCATCTTCCCACCTGGAAACATCGCCACAGGCAGTTTCCTAAAGCTCTGCTGTTTAAGGAAGCGTCCTAAAATGAAATACTTGAAAAAAGTACATTCCATGGCCAAAAAAAAATCCTGTTTGGAGTCATGTGCAGGCAGTGTGGGAAGACCATAGTAGGTGAGAGATAAACGAGGACTATTTTCAGAGCTCTGACATATACCACACACAACATATACAAACACATTTCTATTTCACACACACGTACACACACACACAACCCAATCCCCGCACTGTTCACACTCTGTTTTTGCATCTAGCCAAAAACCTGAGAGGAAAAGCTAGAGCCAGTGCCTACTGGGCCCCTCACAGGCTGGATCTTTACCACCTTAACCAGGTGCTGCCTTTATGCTTTACCTATCTCAATCTTCCCACATCAGGATGGCCAGTGTCTGGCCAACTTCCAAGTTAACCCAGCACCATCCACCTGAGTGCCAAGCCACGCCAGGAAGATTCAGTGGTGGGGAGATGCCCAGGAAGGACATGAAGCAAGGGGAGTCATGTGGGGGAAAAACAGGTGCTCCATGCTTGCACCCTCACAGAACTGTGGCGTGGGGGCCTCCGTAACCCATGGGCAGGATGGCATGACCACTGAGACGGCGGAGGATGGAGCCTACAAATGAAGAGGGTAAGCAGAGTGGGACTTAATTCAGGTCAGGGCAGCAAGGAGAAGGAACTGCATGAACAAGGGAGACGAGGACAGGGCAGCTCTCTCCTCTGGGAGCGGGAGAGAAGGGGCGAGGCGGTGAGGGCAGAGTCCCGCCTGCCGCGGTCTGTCACAGGGACACGGAAAACGTACAGGGCGTTCTCCACATGCCAGATGACAATGGTGGTCAGCACAGTCTCTCCCTGGACTGCCCTCTGAGCTCTAGATATGTGTGCCCCAACAAAGATCTTAAGGGTGGCACAGAGTAGCAGCATGATGGACAGGATGTCTGAATGGGACAGGGAAGGAGAAAAAATAAAAGGAAACTGGAGGAGAAAGGGGTCGAAAAGGGCAACAGTAAGGGAAGGAGAGCAGAAAGGAGGGAGAAGGAGGCAGAGAGACAGGAGGAGAAAGAGCAAGAGGGAAAAAGAGAGCAGAGTCATGAAAATGAAGGGAAGACCCAGGAGATGGGGTGGGCCTGGTCACCAACTCCCTGCTCTAGAGCAGCTAGGACTCAAGGACGGGCTCTGGAGGAATCCTGACATCTGTCTCCAGGTCAGAACCACCGCATCCCTGGGGCGGACCTGAGACAGATGATGGGCCAGCTGCTGAACGCATCCCTCAGACCAGGTCTCTGACAGCAAGGCCTCCCACCCACAGGGGCAAAAAGATGCCAAGTGTATGTCACCCAGCTGCCCTGGGGCTCACCAGGGACACCCAGTTTGAACTCATGTGAGCATAAGAGTCTCCCCCGAATCCATTCACCCGACAGTGGGTGGGGGTGGCCCTCTCCCCAGTGCGCCCCATGGGGGGTTTGGCCTCAGACACCAGTGGCCCCGAGCGCATACTTACATTACCACCTCCAGGGACATGCTTAATATTGTCCTTGGAACCACACTTGGACTGAATATGGCTGTAGCTCACTTTTTTGGAGACTATCTGGACCTGGAGTGTTAGAGAATAGAAAAAAAAAAAAAAAAACAACACAAAGGGAGAGGGCTGGTTAGAACTGACACAGGGCAGGCAGTGAGTACACACGTGACCATGACGAGTGGCAGATGGTGCTGTTAAAAGCCTACCTCCAGCAGAACAGCTGTGGAAAAGCACAGGGCAAGGGACCGGAAGGAGCAGGAAAGAGTGAAAACATGAACGAACAACACAAGGACAGGAGATGTCACCAGATGCTACATGGACATCCTCACCGCTCCTGGGGCCAGCTGCTGTTCACAGTGGCCTCGATCCCCATCCACCACAGCCCACTCACATCTGTTCTCTCCCCGAGGCTCCTCTCTGCAAAAGTCCTGCTCATCTGGACCCATCCTCACCCAAGGCGGCACTTCCCTGAAATCTAGGGCCTGGAATCGCTGCAGAAAGACCTGGTCTGGGAAAGCAAAGGCTGCACGGCGAAGCCTGGGGCAGCTGGCTCACAACCCAGATCTGACGCTGAGACGAAAGACGGCAGAGGCGGCTGGACCTGCGATGCGGGGCCCTGGGCACCAGGGGGCGCCACCACAGGCACTGCTACACTACAACGAGGAGCCCGTTTCTCTCAGGGCTGAAGAAAAGATGGCGCAAATGCGGTGAAGCTCTGGTCATTTTTGATGCCAGGGTAAAATCTCTTCCACAGTCCTCGAGATGCCCAACCTTCTGTGTCCTGTGAGTTTCACGTGCAGAGAGACCAGGTTCTGGGCAGGGCACAAGCAGAGGGCACCCGCCCACTGTGCTGTACACGAGTAGCTCCACTTGAACAGAGGAACATGAAGGCCCAGGCTCCAAGGTCTGGGACAAAGAATTCTTTCTGAGGCTTCTCAAGAAGGAACAGTTGCCAACTTCCTTCTTTTCCTTCCTTAGAGCCCATCCCAAGTGATGCAGCCCCCAAACTGAAGAGTTCTCCGAGACAAAGTAGAGAAATCTACCCTGAGAAACTCCAACTGTTTCTTGCCTTCTTAACAACATCAGTGACAAAACCACTTTCCTAATGAACCAGGTCTGAACCAGAGGCCTATACAGGACTTCTGGAAGGCTCCGGGAGCCATGGTGCAGCCTTCCCCGTCTGCCAACCACAGAGTCTTGGCCGGAACCCTCCCATCCTGGTCCCTCAGGGCTGGAGCTCAGGCTTCTCGGCCAGCCCCCGACCACCAATCTGCCACAGAGAAGGGCAGAAGGTTCCCAGGGCAGGAGGAGGGTCCTGGCTCCAGGGTGTGGAGGCAGAGGAAAGACTCGAGCACCTCCACTCACCTCTGCTGTCCACATAATGCTGCAATCCCCATGCCAAGCGTGTTTTCCACTGGGAAATGGGAATGAGCATCCTAACTTTCAGTTCAGAGGTCCTTGGGGAACCAGAACAAATCAAGCTATTTTTTCACCCACCGGTGTGGAGAGGGGCCTGTTGAAATTGAAGCACAGGGCTCTGGGGTTCCTGGTGCTGAAAGGTTACCAGTACCATGTCTTACTGAAGAAGAAGGTGGATGCTATGGGCATAACACGTAGGTTTCAGATCAAGGTCAGTGTGAAGGACGTGACTGAAAGTCTTTGCATCCATTTTATCTGCCTGAATAAATATCCGCTAAAGGGCTAACAGGCGCCCAGCTCTGTTAACTTTCAAGGTTATTAGAGAAAATTTTCTGATGCCTGAGTCATCAAACACAGGGGAGGGAACATGGGGAGGAGTAGAAACTAGTTAGGGATAGGAAAAAGGTGCAAAAGAAGGGAAAGTGACTCAGGCTGGAAGAAACAGTTGATCGTCTTTTACCTTCAAGAGGTAAAAGTCTAAATAAAACTCACTTTCCCCGTAGGCGGTTTCTGTGCATTGCCAATTGGGCCGGCTGCTTTAGTGACTGCGTTAGGTTCAGGCTTTCGAGCTGGAGCAGCTGCCTCTGTTTTTTTCTCTACTTTGGCCTGGATGGAGATAAAGGGAGGGCAAATTTCAAACCAAGAGGATAACAGCCCAAATGCCATGAAGGGAAGAAGACTGAAGGGGACTCGAATCCAGGCCAGGCCACCATGCAGAAGCAGGTCACCCTTGCTCCTAGAAAGAAAACCACCATGTGCCAGGGCAGACCAAGCTGGAGGGAGAGGGGTCGCAAACCAGTCTTGAGATACAAGGAAGAGATCGAGACAGCATTCGTGGAGAAGAGGCAGGAAGAAGGGATAATGTGAGTGTGCACTGGGGTTTTCAAATCACAGTCCACCCTCCATGTTCTCATACGCTCCAAGCAAGCTGCCATGGTCACAGGAAGCCAGCGTTGATGACAGGAAGTGTCACACCCTCAGGTATGTTGGAACAGAAAATACTTTCGTCACCAGACTGAGTTATTCAACTCCCCACCAAGACCTGCAGCAAGTTTTGCACCATGTACACATAAGAGCACAGAAGTGGGGAAAGGCCATCGACACACAGCATAACACCTGGCTGGGCTACCCAACGCCAGAGCTACACTCTCTTGCCAAGAGCAACCCTTAGGCCCTCATCCCAGTTTTCCATAAACGTCTTCCAACAGTACCAGGATTCTGTCTCATTTTGGACCCCCTTCAATTTTTTCAGCAGCTCTGGATTGAAGCAATTTAAATGTCCTACTCTGAGTGGGGGGAGGTGGTGGCAGCAGTTTAAGCGCTAGAGAATGATGCAGGAGATGAGGAGGTTACTGCTCCAGAAACTGAACCTGGACTCTTGCCACCACCTTTGCACACACAGAAGCCCCATGGTTGCTAATAGTTAAATAATCCTGGGGTGGATGCACTCAGAAAGTCCTTCAAGTGAAGACCTTGGTTCTCCACCGTGACACTCTACCGCAGTCCTTTTGTTTAGGAAACCCAGGGATAGAAGAAAGTCACCCTGGCCACAAGAGGACACTAGTCCTCATCCAGACAGACTCTTCAGCCAAGACACTGCTCAGGGAACAAAGAGGCAGTCCATCTTCTGCCTAGCCTGAGCAAGGAGAAGGAACAGAATGGACCAGGTTCCTGCCCAATGTCTCTCACCTATGCAAGGCTCAGAGGCATCCTCTGTTTTGTAAATAAAGCAGAACCCTTTGCCTCCAAACAAAAATGTAAGCCCAAACCCCAATATGCAGACTAGGCGAGGAGAAGAGAAAGCCAGAGCTAAGCCCACTTGCATCCTGCTGCTGGGAGGTGGAGCCCAGGCTGAAACTCCCTGACACTGAACCCATTGTCCTGACTGTCCCCTGCATGGTGGGCCCCTTGGGCTGATGCAAGGACACGCCTGGGAACAGTGCTTAGATGTGGCAGAGGATGAAGCAGGGGCCAGCACGCTGGGGACCCCAAGCTCCCTGGACTCACCCGGCCTCCTCCAGGCTGATGCTTGATGTTTTCGGTGGAGCCGACCTTGGAGCGGACATTCTTCAGATCAGGGGCAGAAGCATTGGCAGCCACGCGGCCCAGCCTCGGGGCAGAGGAGCTGGGCTTGGCTGCTGTGGGTTTCTTGTCCGCAGGAGGAGTCCCCGAGGGCCGGGGAGGCGTGGCTGTGGGCTTGGCTCGACTGGGAGCCCCTGCTGGGGGTGCTGTCCCAGGGACAGCGGTGCTCTTCTTCACAGAACTGGTGGTGGTGCTCTTTGGGCGACTCAAGTCAGCTGCTCAGGGAGGAACAAGAGATAACAAGTGCTCAGGGGAGAAAGCAAAAGGGAGCCTTAAAGCCAAGGAAGACATGGGGTTTAAATTTGGATTCCACAACGTGGGGGATGGGTCTTACCTGGTGCAGACTTTGTAGCCATCTTCTTGACCTCTGCAGGTTTCCCCTCAGTCTTGACTGCTGTACAAATATACACTTTTTAATATCATGTTTAAACAAGATGATCCACTGAATGGTTCATCCTAAACTGAGATTCATGCATTCGTTCAACAATGGCTGAATCGTTTGAGTCAGGGGCTGTGTTAGGCTCTGGGAACAGACTAGTAAATGAGACCGTCAAGTAGAGTCACCCCTAGATGGACCGTCCAAGGCCAGGCACTTAGTCATTTCTATGGTCTTGACAATGCTTCCACATGGCCTTTCTTTAAACAGCCTATTTCTTATTATGAAAGACCATGAACACAAAGTGCTAGGTACCGTGGAATTATTGAGAAAGGAACAGTAAATTCTACCTGGGAATTCATGGGAATTCACTCAGGATTCTTCTGGATACACATAGCTGCTAACCTCACATGGAGATTGAGGCTCCACTTTTTTTTTTCATTTATTTTTATTAGTTGGAGGCTAATTACAATATTGTAGTGGTTTCTGTCATACATTGACATGAATCAGCCATGGATTTACATGTATTCCCCATCCCGATCCCCCCTCCCATCTCCCTCTCCACTCAATCCCTCTGGGTCTTCCCAGTGCACCAGGCCCAAGCACTTGTCTCATGCATCCAACCTGGGCTGGTGATCTGTTTCACCCTAGATAATATACATGTTTCGATGCTGTTCTCTTGAAACATCCCACCCTCGCCTTCTCCCACAGAGTCCAAAAGTCTGTTCTATACATCTGTGTCTCTTTTTCTGTTTTGCATATAGGGTTATCGTTACCATCTTTCTAAATTCCATATATATGTGTTAGTATACTGTAATGGTCTTTATCTTTCTGGCTTACTTCACTCTGTATAATGGGCTCCAGTTTCATCCATCTCATTAGAACTGATTCAAATGAATTCTTTTTAATGGCTGAGTAATATTCCATGGTGTATATGTACCACAGCTTCCTCATCCATTCGTCTGCTGATGGGCATCTAGGTTGCTTCCATGTCCTGGCTATTATAAACAGTGCTGCGATGAACATTGGGGTGCACGTGTCTCTTTCAGATCTGGTTTCCTCGGTGTGTATGCCCAGAAGTGGGATTGCTGGGTCATATGGCAGTTCTATTTCCAGCTTTTTAAGAAATCTCCACACTGTTTTCCATAGTGGCTGTACTAATTTGCATTCCCACCAACAGTGTAAGAGGGTTCCCTTTTCTCCACACCCTCTCCAGCATTTATTGCTTGTAGACTTTTGGATAGCAGCCATCCTGACTGGCGTGTAATGGTACCTCATTGTGGTTTTGATTTGCATTTCTCTGATAATGAGTGATGTTGAGCATCTTTTCATGTGTTTTTTAGCCATCTGTATGTCTTCCTTGGAGAAATGTCTGTTTAGTTCTTTGGCCCATTTTGAGGCGCCACTTTTCAATGGGCCCATGAAGGACTGGGTCACAAGTCCTTCTTCTATCTACACAACTCTCTGGAGCTGTCTGGGGTAAAGCCACTGGTTCCCATGGGAGGGACATTCAGTACTCACCAGTGGGCCTCTTGGGCAAGGGTGTGGAGAGGTTCCTACTGCTTGACCCAGGTGAAGCAAGAGTCGCAACTGCTGGGGCTTTGGGAACAGCCTGGGTGCTCTTGGAGCCAGGTTTGACAGCTGGGGCAGAGACCGGCTTGGATGGAGAGACCCGCTTCTCAGGAATCTTCGCCTCTGCAACAGGCTGTCAAAAGTGGGAATAAGCGGTAGGTCAGCAACAACCCCAGGAAGTCATGCCAAAGGATGGTTCCATATAAGCAGATGTCAGAAAACAAGAGAACAGTGGGCTTGGCAGCTACTAATAGGAAATATGTGGCTCTAGTATCAAAGTCCTCCAGACAACATGGGAAATGGCCATGTAGGGTGCCTTGTGATCGGGATCAGGAAACAGGGAGTCAAACCACCTCAGTCCAACCTGAACCAGAGAGGATAAGCAGCCCTAGAAATACACCACACTACAAACTATGTCTGCCTCAGGATCCACTGCATTAAATACTGATACATTTAATGTAGTAATACTTGACCAGAGAGTAAATGAAATTATAAAAAATTACAAATGTTTAGTCCAATCCAGCTGTTCTGTGGGCTAAGATGCACCCAGTGAATTCTGAACAGGATGGGGCAGCAGATGGAGACGGCATTGGCCAAACCAATCGGGTCAGAAGCCTAAGCTTCAGCCTCAGGCAGCCCCTTGACTCACGTGTGCTCTTGGGCAAATCACTGAGCCTTTCTGGGCTTGATCCCCTCTTCTGGACAAAGAAGGGCAGAACAGAGGATCACTAAGGATCAGCTCCATTAGGGACTGGAGAATGAGAATTCTGTAAGAGCATAGGGACAAATGGGAAGGGGCAGGTGGATGTGGGCCTGACAAGCAGAGGGCAAGAGGAGGCTGCTGCCAGAGCTCTGACTGATGGCGAAAGGGAAAAGCCCCTCAGGCAGAGACACGGGCGTGTGGGTCACTCCAGTCCTCTTCCAAGGAGGCTGGGCACACTATCACTACCAAAAAAGGGAAGGAATCAGCACAGTCTGGTGTCTGCAGGAACAGAAGAGGAACAGACCCACCGTGTTACTCAAGAGAGTAAGCCAAGCCAAAGACACAGTGGGTCTGTCTCTTATGCCCCAAGAGAAATGACCATACAGAGGGCAGGATGTGGGCAGAGACAAGGACATTGCTTAAATGAAAAATCAGCTAAGGACGTTTTTAGAAATTAAGGGTTGGCATTGATTTAGAGAAAATCTAACCCTAATGACCACTGCTACAAATGAAGGTCCCAAGCATCATGTAAAGAACCTAAGGCTGGAATCAGGGAAATGGTCTAACTACCAGCTCTGTCTAGAACAGACATGACATTCTTCAGGTTGCTTCTAGCCTCAACGAGCTGCAGAACTGGCCTGCTCTCATAGTTGGAGTTACTCCTGATTTTTCAACTTTTATTTTCTCCTCTGTCAGACTGACAGATCTGAATAGTTTTATCCCCTTTGTTTCTGTAAATCTTTCTACCAAAATAAGGAAACAACTAAATTTCATTCGGCTTTAGTTTCTATCCATCTATCAAAATATCTAAATATCTATAGCTTGTCTAAAAGATAAACAGGACTGTTGATAGAGGCCCTGAGCAGAAGCACTGGAGTTAGACCTAAGTTCAAACACAGGTTCCGCTGCTTACTAGCTCTGGTCCCCAAGAAGGTTATTTAAGTTATGAAATGAGCATGCTAATATCCATTATCACGGGTTTCTGAGAGAATTAAAGGAGTTAATGTCTATAAAGAAATCTGTACAGTATGCTCCATTTTTGTTATTGTTATAGAGTGAATTTCACATGGCTTTCCGTCTCCCTCGGGATTTGCTGCTAAGAAAGTGTCAGGGGGAAGCTGATGCCATGGCTCCAGCCACCCTCCCTCTGCCCCCTTATTCAAATGAATTGTTTTCTAAACATCAGGAAAAGCATTCAACTTGGTAAATAAGGATCAGAAAGTGTTCTGAGATTTTCTCATTCCTAATCTATACTAGGATTTCTTAGTTTCTTGGCTGCGGTTTCAACCTAGCCTACGATTCTTAGGTTCTACCAGTTTTATGTACTAGATTAAATTAAAACACTAACATTTTAATATGGTAAGCTCCTCCCCAACATGAATTTGAAGAGTAACAGCAGGCTGACCTAAAGGCCATTCTCAAAGAAAACAAGATGTTAAGAAAAGGCAGACACAGATTCCACCCACCCTCTCTTCCCATACCAATCCTGTGAAGCTAATGCTGTTCTGAACTGCCCAGTTTCTAAGCAGTAATGTGTGGGTGACCTGGAAAACTGAAAAACTTCAGAAAGAGCCCAGGGAGAAGAAGCCTAATGCCAGACGCAAGTAAGTTATCACATGATGCTGGAATCTGCTGAGATAAGCTGGAAGAGCTAATCATCATCAGCTAATGGAGGAAATTCACTTCTGCAGGATGAATAAGAAGAAAGACAAAGAACTGAATCTGATTGAGAATCTGATGTCAGAATTATACCAAAAATGAGTATGTGACTGGCATGAGGAGTAGGGGAAACTGGTTAACAAGTGTTGAAATAGATGAAGAGTAAGGAGGAGCTGGGAGAAAGGAGGAGTGGAAGCAGAGGCAATATTGCCTCCAACCAGGGCAGAGAGAGGCACAAAATGAAAAAGACGGTGGGGACTTCCCTGGTGGTCCAATGGTTAAGACCCTGCACTTCCAGTGCAAGACAAGCAGGTTTGACCTCTGGTCAGGGAACTAAGATCCCATAGGATGTGCAGTGGCCAAAAAAGGTTAAAAAAAAAATGTAGAAAAGGCCTTCAAATGTCATGGCTGCATCATGGGTGCCCAAAGTGATCTGAGTTGACCTTTCCCCATTTCCCTTTCCTCTCCCTAGCCCCCCAGCCTATTTCCATGTCTGGAAGCAACAGTGTCTAAGCATCTGATGGTTGGAGGGGAGAACGTTTCCCTGGCACAGTGCTTAGGTGGCTGCTTACCTTGGGCTTCGCGTCTTTTGAAGGTAAGGTGGAAGGCCTGGCAGTGGCAGCAGCAGGGCGTTTGGGTGGGGCAGCTGGTACTGAGCCTGAAGCAAGGCTCATGGGTTTTTTATTCGACCCACCAAAGGTGGTGGGAGCTGTCTGCTTAGGGAGAGAAGTGGGCTGTGTTTTGGCTTTCGATGTTGAAGTCTTTGCAGGTTGAGTGGTGGCCAAAGGCTTTAAGTTGATTTGTTTTTGTTTTTTTTAAAGGGCAACATCAAACACACAGACAAGAATAAAAACAAATTTTAAAAAAGTATAAATTGCACAATTCAAAGTAACACTATAAGCAATGAGGAAAGATGCAACTGAAAATTAGCATTCCTTTCTTCTGAGCTCAGTAAATAATGGAAAGATATCAGGATGAGCATAAATAAAACTGGAAATTGTTTCTTAATGACAATGTCACAAATTCCAGTAGTTGAACATCTCAAGACTTAAATTCAGTAATAACTTTAAACAATTAACTAACTTTTGAAGGCTGCAATAATTCTGTGAAGAAATTAACCAGCAGGTGATTAAGCTATCTACTATCTGTAACTCTGTGATGTAATACCAACCACACTAAAATGAGCATTTGTACTTTAGAATAAGTGTCTGGAGCTATATTCCATCTTAAAAATCTGTGCTCCTTTTTCATGAAGAGAGACTTCAGAATGGAATTCTGAATAATTCTGTAATTCCCTTTATTGGTGTTGTTAAAGGAAGCAGAAATATCTATAGAATATTCAAGATAATAGGGTCAAAAGCAGAGATTTGAAGGTTTAAGTTAGGCCACTATGATAAAATGGGAATATAAAATATTTTCTAAGCATGTTCGAACTTGAAGAAGGAGGACATATTATTAGCTCAGAAAAAAGAAATTTCACTTGCATAATCCAAACAATAATAGCAGAAGGTAGTTTTAAAAAATCACAGCAGAAGAAGACAACCCACCGTTCTCGCACTTACCTTTGTTTTCTTCTCTGGGCTTGGTGGAAGCTCCTTGTTTGGAGGGGCGGTGATGTCATTTCCAGACACGCTTCCAGCAGGTTGTCCTTCTTCTGGTTTGGCTATTCCTAAAGGGGGGAAAGTGGTGCTAAACAAATGTTTTTCACACCCATTGAGAAGACACAAGTCTTTGCAGTGACACACCACTAACTAGCACTTCATCCTGAGAAAATCCACAGAGCTGTGCTGCTAAAAATGGACAAGACTCCCCAGTTTCCCTCATTGTGACGAAGGACAGTTTTAGATTCCAGCCTGTCCCTGTGGAGAAGCAACCTAACTAGGATTTGCACAAATGATCAATGGAAGGAAACGGCCCTTGAAGTTTGGTTTCCCTTCCCTGGAGACTGGCAAAGGCGTTCTGTCACCCTACCACTAACTCCCAGAGCAACAGGGGACAAAAACCATTTCTACTGGAGTTTATCTCTTGGAATAAAGGGTGCTGAGAGATGGGATAAGAGCCAGATGATCATCCAATGTTCTCCCCTTACTTCCTTTCCCTGCAAAGCACCACTTTATGGAGGATGTGAGATGAACCTGATCTGGTTCTAGTGGTGACCCAGATTTCCAACAAGGCCGAGGAGACCCATGCAATCAGATCCAGGGCCAGAAATAAAGTCTATGGCCTAAGGCTATGCCCAGCAGCACCACTGTGGGGAGGTGACTCCAGATTTCAATAGGCTACACCAGAAAGCATTGAAATACCATGAAACTTGTAACTTGAGTGTGGGGAGACCGTTCTAACTAACACAAACTCTAGATGCCACAAAGATAAGTTGGAGTATAGAAAAATAAAAAGGCTCAACATATCCCAAAAAACAAGAAGAGTCAAAAGGCAAATGATAAACAGGAAAAAAGTATTAAACCTCGCATCAAATACACAGAGCTTATTATGTTTACTCCTACAGATCAGTAACTGCTATAAAGGCCAACAACCTACTAAAAAATGGCCAAAAGAATATGAACACAATTTACAGAAAAAGAAATACAAATCACTTTTGAAAATATGAAAAGTTATCCAATCTTTAAGAGAAATGAGATGTCATTTCTAACCTAACATTTGTTAAAAGTCCTAAAATTTGAATGTAGCTGCTAGAGAGAATACAAGGACATACATCGCTGGCAAGTGTGTGAAGCGTACAACTCATATGCAGGGCAATCTAGCAGTGCCCCTAAAAATTCCAAGTGTAGATAAATTCTAATTCAGAAGTACAATTTCTAGACATTTATCTTAAGAGATATATTCACATACCTGCCAAATAGCAAATTTGCAAGCTCTTTCCCCAGATCATTATTTCTAAAGGCAAAGTAATAAAACCACCTAGAATTCTGTTAACTGAAAACTGGTCAAAGTATATGGCAGAAATATCAATGTAACCTCTGAATCTGAAACTGATTCAGAATCTGAATCTGATTGATAGGGAACAATCTCTTCTAAGCAAAAAGCAAAGCAAAGAACATAATTGTAGGTATAACATGAGACAATACACTTCTATTGCAAATATACTTGTACATGCATTTTTTTTCCCATGCATTTTAAAAGTCTTTGGAAGGATCATGATGAAACAAAACAATGGTGATTTAATTCTGGAATGGGGCGGGGGTTGGGGCACAAAACTAGAGAGGCTATATATTTATATTAAAACTTTTTACTCTGAAGTACAGATTCACAGGAAGTTACAAAGAAATGTACAGGGAGGTTCTATGCACCATTCACCTGGTTTCCCCCAAAGACATCCTGTGTAACTACAGTACACTATCAAAACTGGGAAACTGATACTGGTGCAATCTACAGAGCTGCTCAGATCTGTCCAGTTCTACATGCATTCATTTGTTTGTGTGTGTGTGTGCATGTAAACAGTTCTGTGCAACTTTATCACATGTGCAGCTTTACGTAACCACTACTAAGAATCAAAACGGATTAATTGTTCCACCACCACAGAGCTCCCTCATGTTACCCTTTTTATTTTTTTAATAGCCACCCCACCCAGCTTTCCCTTTCCAATCCCTTAATCTCTGGAAGCTACTCATCTGCTGGCTATCTCTAAAATATTATTTTAAGAATATTACATAAGTGGAATCATACAGCGCACTACTTTTCATACCTGGCCTCTTTCACTCTGCACAGGGCTTCTGAGCTGCGTCCATGTTGTACATGCTAAGTCCATGGTATGGCTGTAACACAGTTGAGCCCTTTGTCTACTATAGGACATTTTGGTTGTTTCTGGCTCTTTGCTATTTAGGAATTTTATTACAGGATTTTGAATAAAACAGTTTCTTTGTTACTGTACAGAAATGCAGTCTATTCCTACATGTTGGTAGTGTAACCTATGACCTGCGGTCTTGATAAACTAGTTAGGTCTAGGGGTGCTGTCCCCCCGCACGTATGGGTGGATCAGGCCTGCGGTGTTGCCCGTTGTGAAGGGGGGCCCTGATGGCCTCTGCCGACCCTGTACCTGCCAGAGGGCTGAGCCCATCCCTCCTCCTGGAAATGGGTAGGGAAACAGGGCTTCCCTTTCTGGGTCTTCTGGCAAAAGAGAGCAGGCCTTTCATTCTTTCTTTTCGTCTTTTCCCCTTCATTTTCTCCTTCTTTTTAAAATCTATGCCTGCTGATGATCCCAGGTTGAAGATACTCTCCAGTACCCAGACCAGGACACACGGGAGGCTCTCCTTCCTCCAACTGTGAGCCCTGCCCAGCCTGCCCTCTCCCTTCTACCTTTTACATTCCTTTTCTGATTATCTGGTACATTCTTCCCAGAGTATTTAGCTATATTTACAAGGGGGAGCATGAAAAAGTGAATCAATGTCACTTTGTCTCGGTAGGAGATTTTCTCAAGGATAGCATTTTGTACTTTTTGATGTTTGAAACCATATATATTTCTAGTCAAAATGGAACTTTTTTACTTTTAAAAACATGAAAAAAGAAAACCACTCCCACCATGTAAAGCATTGGTAACATCTTTGTTCTATAGCCAGCTGAAAGAGGATCCCCACCAAATGTGTGACTTCTTGTCACTGGCCCCAGACCAGTACGAACATTTTTCAATAAGCACAGGATTTTTCAGCAAACAGCAAAAACACTTCATGAAATCTCCCTGCTATGAAACAACCACACAACACTTCAACTTGTACCACCACCCAAAAGTCCCCACAGTTCCACAAAGAACGTTCAAAAGGAACACATAACTGCTCCACAAAACTGCTCACTTCCGATGGATCTTTCCATTATTTGTACCAATACATGCTGGAAAACACAGGCTCAAAATCATAGCATCATCTCCAATTCCTTTCTCCCCACTGTCCCATCTCTCTCTCTCTTTCTCATCTTCCACACTCAGTTTTCAAGTCCAGTTGACTTCACCTATGTTATACTTCCCCTATCTCAGTAGTTCACCTTTTACTACTACATGAATCCCTTGATACTACTGTCATCAAGGGAATTTTTTTGCCTTCAAAACCTCTAACTTCCAGTTTATCTTATTTATTGAGAACACGTGAACTCCTCAAAGCCAGCTTTGGGCCACTGTATTTTCCATCATAGGCAGGCAAGCAGGATAGCTTTTTGAACACGGGAGAAACGTTTAAATATCTTACAGGGCAAGTAAGCTTGGGTTCCAAACAAATTTCTAGATTTGTTATCCCATTATTTCTTGCTCAGATGTATGGATGACTTTGGCATGTTTGGTCAACCTACAACCTTCTCCAGAGGAGCTCCAGACGAAGTGGGCTGCTCAAAACAGCCAACACTGGTGAAGAAGGCTTTGGAACCTGGCAAAGACGTGACCAGACCAAGCACAGACAATAAGATATATTTACTCATTCTTGCCCTAAAAGAAGGAAAATATGAAAACTACAGTCAAGCAACCTTGGGTTCCTGAGATATGAAGTGGCATAAGGTAGGGCACAGAACCCAAAACCATGGCAACCAATGTCCTGGGCAGACCAGAGTCGCAAAGGAAGCAAAAAGTAAGAGACAGCAGAGAATAGTTTCCAGAGGGGAAGAGAATGGAATGCATGTTTAGGGAGAAGCAGAGGTCCTCAGAGAGACACACGATGGCTGTAGCCAAGCTACACTTCCTGCAATTGGATTCCCTGAGATTGCCTGTCAGTAAATACCTTTTTATAAATTGGATTTCCCGTGTGTGTGTTTCTGTCCTATGAAACTAAATAATCATTAAGAGAAGCCCCACAAATACTCATCACTATTCTTTTACCCAATGTGAGCTGTATGAGCATCACACCTTTGACTGGAAGGCTTTCCCTCCACATAGGCATCCTAGGCTTCCAAGGCTACCTCCTCCAAAAAGTTGTCAGGATTTAGAAACCCTCTCACACAATCCCACCCCCCTGACCCTTGCCCAGTCCAGCTAGTCACTTGATGGTGCCTAGGTAGTGACTGGCATATGATATGTATGTTGAATAATGAATCTTTATATAGTTTTATCTACAAATTTTAGCAGTCAGCATTCAAACATTTATAAGGTGAACAGATCAGTGAGGTCTGTCAATCATCTGACATTTTCTTTTCCTACCAGCATGAATTTCTGTTAGTATGAACTAGGACAAAGTTGTTCTGAAATAAGTATCTTCATTTATTACCACCTAGAATGTATACAACACTGAATTGGGCACGTGATGATCAAGGGAAAAAATGATGAGACAATCCTATCCATGAGGATCTTATAGTTCTGCCACCACAGAAGGAAGCTACAGCATAGAACACTTGAGTCTATAATAAATCATAAAGGAAATATGATGTTTATTTGGCCATCTCCATTAAAAAAACCACACAAAACTGTCAATCTTCAAGGGTCCTTTCCACTTACCCTTCCCCGAGAAAATACACTTAATATTAAGGAAAAAAGTTAAAATTTTTTGAAAAAATGTACTGAGAGGTATAAATACTAGAGGAAACGGTTCCCAGAAAAGGCTATTTTCTTTCTTAAAACAAACAAACAAAACACACATTTTCAATCTCCATTAAGTAGCTTGTAAATCCTGATCCTTTGTGCTCAAACTGGACTCAGAGGAAAGCAAGCTTTTGTAGACCACCAACAATAAGACCGGTGGG